TATATATACATGGTATGTGTGGGTGGTTGCTCATTTTTTGAAAACATTTCCCCAGAGCTGTTTATTGGGTGTCTCATCCCTCCTGCGACCAGAAACAGAGAAACCTGCATCTTGTATGAACCATATTTGGAACACGCCATCCAGCTAAAACCTTGTTAAAAGCAACTTTGCAGCCATCGCACACCATCACCTTATCAGCCTCACTAAACTTAAGTCCTACCAGGACAACACTAAAACCAAAGGGGGAAGAATAACAAATTAACAGCCCTCTGCAGCTCCTCCTGCTTCCTAGCCCTGAATTAATCTGCTGCATCTCTCTTCAGGCCAGCTTGCCCTGGCCACAGCAGAGCCCAGCTCTCCTGGCAGACTCGTGCTGCTGCAGCACTTGCTGGCAGCTCTGTCCATTCAGACTGCAAATGCTTTTGTAGGAAAGCTGCAGACTGAACACGGAATGGCCCCCAAGTAAGACCTGCTCCACTGCAAAAGGTTAATTTAAGACTCAGTTTGAGTTATTTTAGAGCTTCTCACACACCCTGTTTTCCTGTGCGTTTGATATCTCGAGACACCCCAGCTGTCCTCTTTTCAGCATAATTTAATGTTTGATTATATTAAAAGAAAGCATGCATTGTCTTGAAGAACAGAAAAAGCATCACCTAGGGATTTCTCTAATGCTGAGAGAAAATAAATATTTCATGGCACAGCAGAGTAAAAAGTCAGTCCCCAAAGTATATAATTGACAAGTAATTCTCTAGATTTGGTGCCTTCTCAGTTTTAAGTTGTTCCAACAATACAGCAATTGCCTCAGAGCTAGAGTTTGGCAAAGGGAGGAGTTATGGAGAGGAAGACACAATGATGTTGTCTCCAGTAAATATGGGTAAAAGCTGCACTGATATCAAGTCAAAGCATACAGCAGATCATGAGAGGGGAAAAATGGCACCCATTGATACTCACTGACACTTGCTGACCATTTATGGAGACCAAACAGTGGATGTGCAAATGTCTACAAGCACAGCATGCAGGCTCCTGTTCACTGTTGGCAAAAACACACAGCTAACGGTGGTGACTGTGCTGAAAAACAGTGTTTAGTAGATGAAATGAAATGCTCTGTGAAATAAGTGTTACTGCACTTTTTGTACCTGTTGTAGTTTCCGTGGAAATAAATAAGAGGCATTACATTCAAAGCAATGTACATAGGAAAAGGTGCAGCAGCATAGTCTCCTAATAAAATCACTAGTTGCCAAACAGCAGAAGTATTTCTTGTTTTCTGCATTAGAGTAATCCTTGACATATCTGCAGTCAAGCCAGTGGCAGGAACTGCTCATGAAAACATCTATTTCAAACAGAAACATGATGTGGATCTAAAAATGCACAAACAGCTCTGTAACACAAGATTGTTCCTGCATTCCTGTGTCTTGGCAGTTTTATAGAATCATAGAATCACCAAGGTTGGAAAAGACCTAAAAAATCATCAAGTCCAACCGTTCACCTATTACCAATAGCTCCCACTAAACCGGGTCCCTCAACACCACATCCAGTCTTTCCTTGAACACCCCCAGGGTTGGTGACAACCACTGCCTTCAGCAGTACAGAATAACCAGTCCGACGTTTGTCCTTTCACCACTGTGGCCCAAAAGAACAGAACACGACTTCCTTCTTGCACGGTGACAAGAGTTGTGTGTAAGGTTAAAGTCTGAAGGGTTTACCTAAGGTGTACAATAAGCAGAGTTACCCAAAGGTCATACATACCTTCATTTTTATCGTGGAATGGAACAGTTTGTAGAGGGCAGAGCTGGCAGCTACCAAACCAGCAGTTTTTGATGTGATACCAGCAATGTTGCTGCAGAAATCTGTCCTGCTGCTACTGCTCTACAGCCAAGCATCATCCAAGCTTCAATTCAGCAGTGAAACCCTGCTCCTACTGAATCTGATGACAAAACCTGTGTAAGATCCTTAGCTCCCCAGCACAGCCAAGGGCTAAGCATGTTAAAGAGCTGACAACTTATTCTGTTCCACCACTTAGAGACCCCCTGCCCAAAGGTTTCCCAGAGGTCAGCACCTGACAGATGCACCTGGGACACAGCATGGCTCCTTGAAGCATTAACCGACCCACTGGTACTTGTAACAAGGAACAGCAGGTTCTTATCCCCTCACCACACGCAGCTGATTTCAGTACATCACTGCTCAGGTGAAAGAGCTGAGCCCACTGAGACACAAGTACTAACCTGCAAACACAGCTGTAGGAGATGCAGAAGCCCATCATGCATCTCCCAAATTCAGTGACCCCAGAAAGATCTGCAGAGGCTTTCCCAGCCCCTTCTGGCAGGTCTATTAGCCATAAAAAGAGCATTCAAGAAAACCCCCCAAACAGGAAAATTATCACATCCACCCTATACTCACCCCACAAATTAACATCTTAAATGAGCTCTGGTGAGGCTAAGTATCATGCTTTTCTGCAGCATTATGCAACTTCCAAGTTACTTTTTAGGCAGAACTCTTCTCCAGAAGAAAAGCTCTTAGGTGAGTGAATATTTTAGACTCCAACCCCAGACTTTCTGTGATGCAAAGGCTTCTTAGGAAGAAAAGTGAATCAAAGCCAGGATGTGAGCCTCTTGCTGAATCTTAATAAGCAGGTTTGGAATTGAAGAACATGAAAAGGGTAGTCCCTGAAGCCCAAATGAAAGAAGCTTTGGATTTAGAGGAGATTTTGATTAGGTTTTCATAAAGTGATTTAAAATTACCTGCATAATGCAAAGAATATGCCAAGGTATAAATGCAACACGATTGCCATTGATGGCAAACTAGCAAACTGAGCCACTGAACACACAAATGTCTTAGGGAATTTAAGGTCAAGCTGAAGTAAACAACATACTTGCTTTAAATTGTCACACAAGCAAGCCACAGAACACCTTGTGGCATAACAGTGTAAGAGGAATTCGACTTTTCTCCTCCTGCAAGCTGACAGCATATGATATTGCACAGACAATTTTTAGGGTATGACATAGAAAAGCTGCTTAGAGTTACTGACAAAAAGATTTAAAAAGTTTTTAAACTTCTCTTCTGACGTGCAAGAGCTCAAAATCCATGATGAAACAACCCTTGAGCTTACTGGAGCATTTCACTTACAGGGAATCAAAGCAACTTTTCTAATTAGTGAAACAAAGAAGGGATAAGAGAACAATATAGCTGAGAATGTGTACTAGCCATTGAAAATGAACTGCTACAGACCCAGACAGTGATTCTTACAGGGGCTTTGATGTATGAAGATGATGCTTTGTGCTACGAAGTTCACAATGTTCTGTTACATAGAATCATGGAATCTCTCAGGTTGGAAAAGACCTTAAATTTCATCAAGTCCAACCACAACCCAACCATACTGCCTTAACTCTAACAACCTAAATCTGCTAAATCACGTCCCTGAGCACCACATCCAAATGGTTTTTAAACACATCCAGGGATGGTGACTCAACCACCTCCCTGGGAAGCCTATTCCAGTGCTTAACAACCCTTTCTGTAAAGTTCTTCCTGATATCCAACCTAAACCTCCCCTGGTGCAACTTGAGGCCATTTCCCCTCATCCTGTCACCAGTGAGAAGAGACCAACCCCACTAAGCACCTTTCAGGTACTGGAAGAGAGCAATAAGGTCTCCCCTCAGCCTCCTCTTCCCCAGACTAAACAGCCCCAGTTCCTTCAGTTGCTCCTCACAGGGATTGTCCTCCAAGCCCTTCACAAGCCTTATTGCCCTTCTTTGCTCAACAATTACATCTACTGCATATTCACAAATAGTCTGCACCATTTTTTCCCCCTCAGATAACTGTATTTTTGTGACAGAGTATTACTGCTATTTTTAAAGAGATCTATTCTGTAACCATACAAAGTAGATCATAGCATTTCTAATACACCTAAATTTGGGTAGACAGACACATGGACAACAAAAGCACACATCGGATCAGGAGAGCAGCTCAGTCAGCAGCCTGGGGGATATCAAGAGTATCATGAATTTACATAAATTGGAAATCCAGCTTTTTATAATGTGCTATTTTAAAGTGCACCTGCATGGGAGTAAGGTAAAGAAGAACTTAGAGGTGTTACATTTTCCAGTTTTCCAGTTCTGTATTAATATAGCATCATTTCAAAACTTAAAACATAGAATCATAGAATTGTTCAGGTTGGAAAAGACCTTAAAGATCAAATCCAAACACAACCCAACCATACTGCCCTAACTCTAACAACCCTCCACTAAATCATGTCCCTGAGCACCACATCCAAATAGTTTTTAAGTACCTGTTTAAACATCATAACCCAGTGGTGACATAACGTATTTCCACAGAGACTGAAAAATTGCATTTGGAGTTTTGAAAAGTAACTTTTCATAGGGTTGCCTGTATCTATTTCATTTAATCAGGGAACATTCAGAAGAGACTACACTCTGTGATAATGTTTTCTGAAAGATCAGCTTTGGATGATGAAGTTAAAAATAAAGGTGTTTTTGTTAACATCTGAAGAGACTTATTTAACTTATCTCTTTTCTGAGAACAAAAGAAAATCTTGAAGGCCTCATTTTTGGAAGGCCATATTTTTTTCTGTACTTCTGAGAAGCCAAACAACACAACTACACTTATTTTATAAGTATTAAGGTCTACTGCTAAAACTTAAAAGTCTCTGTATGGGTTCAACCAAAAAAAAAAACCTAGCTGCATAAAATACTGCATTGTGAAGACTGAGAAAATGACCATTTTCTAACAAACAAGGAATGTGTAGCCACACAAGCAAGGTATGATCTGGAAGTATGGAGTTAAAATTTAACACGTTTGTTAATCTAATATGTAATTCAGAACACAAGCACTTTCAAATCCTCAAGTAATCCCATGTAAAGAAGTCAGATTCCTCATGGATCTCAAGACAAACAGTTTGCTAGTAAGAATTCAAATTACTTAATTTTTCTTTACATGACCATGATATGTTGCCAATCTGTGAAATACTTGACATCAAGCACAAAATCTTCAGACTTGTTTCCTGTCTTTTTATTTTCCTTTTCAGTTCCAGAGTTAAGTAAAGAATAAGCTGAGCACAGGAACAGTGAAATATGAAAGCTCTACTAAGCAAAGATTTTCACATCTTCTCTTTCCAGAAAGTGTTCAAGAAGCAGGATAACTTATAGAAATCAGTTTTAAATCACATTCAGAATTATTTACAGAAATGTGACTAACAGAAACTACAGTGGCTCCTAACAGACTTGGTGTCACAGACTGGTATGGAGAGCTAGGGGACTGCTATTTCTTCATCTCCAAGATTGCACTTCCTGGTCCTCTGTGTTTGGCACTGCATATGTTGCAGAACTGGACAGAAGATACCTGGAAATTAAAAAGAAAACAAGTGTCTTAGACAAATATATTCAAGTTAGAACATGAGAAGATGAGTGAAAATTGCTACTGCTCATCCCGGTGTTACTATTCACATTCAGGCTGTTGCCTATAGACAAAGTCATGGATAGGTTTAGGAATGTGACATTGCTGAATAGAATAAAGCAGGTTGTTCTGGAGTCAAAGGGCAGAATTAAGAAAATTCAAACAGGTCATATTCCCTGCTATTCAAAGTTGCATAGTATATTGAAAATTTAGACTGAAAAAGGTTATAAAATACTTCTCAAACAGCAGTAGTTTCTTTCTAAACTGAATACATTCTGCTTGCAGCAGTCCGAAATATCCTTTCCCTAGTCACATACTATTAGAAAGTACCATCAAAAATAATAACTGCAATCACAAAACAATTCCTGATAGAACCATGCCCTTCCCCAAAGATGTGATAAAGAAATTATTTGTCTTCTTGTCTTTGGCAAAAGTGACAGAGATTAAGCTGGTTCCTTACTGTGTTAGATACTGGGAGACATTCTTTGTGAAACATGTGTCTGCAGTGGAACACTACCACGTTGAAGGATTTGGATGCATCTGGGAAAGAGAAAGGTAAATCCGTTACAAAAGAACAATGGAACAAAGGATTTGGGGGCTGGTTGTAGCCCTGTTTGATTACACACACACACAAACATCAAGTCATACCTTCATCACATTAATTTTACAAGTTATCCTGTCTTATTTATAGAAATCACACAGAATGATGCTATCAGGTAATGTGTCCTAGTGGTGAAGTTACAAGATGATTTTATTCTGAGGCTTAAATGATGTACACATTTTCAACTGAATTTTTCAGGTTAATACGTGCCACATGTTAAATTTAGGGAGGGCAAAGAATAATCTACCTCCAAATAATTCAGCCATTTTGAGGAAACATTAACAAAACCCACTCTTGTATGAGTAAAGAGAGAACCAAAATACTGAGTACTACTAGATTCTATGCTTTCAGGACATAAGCTTTAAATGTGGCAATAAGCTGTGTAAGTCCTTGATTCAGGAATATTTAGCCCAATTAGAAACCTCCATACAATATTCACATACTCAAAGAACCTCACTTACCAGCATATACCCATCTCTCAGTCCAACTCTGTCAGGTTTCCTAGCACTAAGTATCTGTTCTGGTCTGTATGATGGTGCATGCAATCACAGTACAACTGTATTTATTATTTTTTTCCTTTTTTTCAGCAAAAGATGGTAGAAACAAGATTAGATAACTGGAAAAGATTTTATTCAGCTATGCACGGCTGGCAAACAAAGAATAGTTGCATCCAGATAATTTGTCTTATGTTTTCTTGTTTGAGGATGCTGGGACAGACACTCTCCCATTTCTTAAGATGCCTAGCAACTATATTGATATTCCTGAAATTAGTTCCTTTGCAGAATGTACATCTTCAAAAATGATATACCGAATTTCCAGTTTTAAGACTAACTTCTGAAATGTTTGAAAGTGTTGGAAGAAGTATAACCCATACAAGTTTATAGTCTGCAAGTTCAGTCTAAATCGCAGTACAAATTAAAACAAAATTTGACTGGATCTGTTTTGTTTCATGATTCTGATATCTCTGGGAATATGCACGTTGATTGATTAAAGTTGCCTTCTGTTCTACAATTTCAAAACAGGAAATAAAAAGAAGAAGAAAGTAAGTCTGGGTTTACTACAATTAAAAGGTTCAGATTAGTCTCCATTCCCAAATTAGAATTCATAAGCAAGCTTTGCACAGGAGACTAAAATTTATTCAGCGATTATCAAGGGAGAATATTACACATTTCTATGAACAGCAGCAAAAAGTAGTTCCTCTAAAAACAAAAAATAGCCTCTTTTTCTTCCAGAAAAGCATCCTACCTGCAGGAAGTATTGGTGACAGGCATGATTCACAGATATTTTCCTCTGGAAAAAAATAAAGGGAAACAAATCTCTAACATTTTGTTAACAAACTCCCTGTTTACTTTTTTTTTTTTTTTTTAATAAAACAGGTATTTACACATTGCAAACACAGAAATTGATCTCGATCTTAGAGTATTTACTTAAGATACTCACCACAGACTACTGGAAATTAGAGAGAAACTCTAAAGCAGCATTTCTATTAGCAGCAGGGAAAATGTACAGATTCTCTGATTTTGGTGCAGGAAGAACTGCAGGAGCTATATCAATATCAGAGCAGTAGAGGCATAAGGCAAACTCAAATAAAAAAGGAAGCATAAGATGGGTTTCTGACTTCTCTGCTGTATTTTTCCAGCAGAAGCTCAGATCTTCTATTTTTCCATCAGCTCCTGGTATAAACACACATCTCGCATAAATCACAGACCTGCTCATGCACATCAGTAGAGCCTCACAAAATATTTTCAACCATTTTTAAAAACAACCTTGTTGCAGAGTATTATTACTTAACTATCTGTTTTGGCACTGAAAAACATTTTCCACCTTTACAGACAAACTGCAAGATGCAACATATTACCAGCTATGCAGAGATTGAACAAACAAAAAGCTGCATGATGGATCTTGTCTCTACAAATAAGATTTACACTCTACAAAAAAGAAGTAATACTCAGGTTTTCTAGCAGCTTTCAAAATGGACTGTCACATGGCTTAGGTCTATAACAACAGGTAAGACTTCAAGTCACCACGTTTCTGCTGTACCCACCATCTACTAGAACACCCTTCATCTGAGTTCGATGCATTTTCTTCAGCAGAGAAAGAGAGTCAGCAACAAGAATCTTCTTGCAACCTTCCCGCAGCAAGATCTGTTATGAAAAAGCACAAAGTACAGCAGCTGTTAAATAGGTGGGCATAACCATCATCCCAGCAAGACACTTCTGGTTTCTGCTGCTACAGAGAGAACAACAAATGTTTAAGCCTTTCCAAGATATCAGACCTTCAAACAGCGAGGGAAAAAAAGGATAAGAGGGAAGGAATCTCTACTTAACTGGAAAAAAACTATTAAAAAAAAATGAAAGACCTCAGAAAAATCAAATCCTTTGCAAATATATTATTGTCATAAATAAAGATCATCTTCCTGTAAGCTTCTCTTAACAAAATACAACAGAGGTTTTTCTTTACACTGCCTCTAACAATTGGATTCTAAACCACTTCAAAACTTCCTCCATTCGTATCTTCCCTGTCTATGTTAGGAAATAGATATGGTCATCCTAAAACCTTTCAAAACCCAACAATTTAAAATTTATTTTGTTCATATGCATTTCCTGCTCAGATGCCATTCAGCAAGCTGTGTTTAAAAGCCCTTGCAACTAACTGAAGGTTAGACCTTGTTCATCCTTAGCAAAAATTCTTAAGATTGCTTTTTTAACTTTAGCATTTTATGTTAAGATTGTTACTGTCTGCCAGTGTTGTGAAACACAAAGAGAGATCTTTGGCATCAAAATTATATACAGTACTATTTTCCAATGCTTACTGAAGAAGGTTTATGTCAATATGACAAACCCAAACAAAGGGTTATAAGTTTTCTTGCTCCCACCCCATATTCAACCAATGCTTGGAAATTTGCTTTCCAAGACCAGAATTCTTCTGAAAAGTCTTTTGAGAGAGGGAGATTCATGATGAATTTTAAGCTGAACAAACCAACAAACCAAGGAAAGTGTTACAAGAAGGCAATGCCTATTTGTTTCTCCAGATTATTTGCACTACAGGAGATAATGAGCACTCTAAACCAGACCAAGATGCTGCTAAAGCAAGTCTCTAAAAGAAGTATAACAATAGGTTTTACAGCCAGGTAAACACTGTCCAAAACCTCATCTTCTTAAATGTGAACTAAACATGACATGCTGCCAGAGTCATTATGCAATTAAGACTGTGTATCTGAAATACAGAAATTAAAAAAAAAATTGATTAACATTAAAGATTTTAAACTGGGCATGCCAGTGGGTAAATGACATTCTCCAGTACTGGACACAACAAGCTACAAAACACTTCAGAGCTCAAGAAACTGAATGTAAAATAAACACTTAGAAAATTAATCAATTTTATGTGTGATAATCTCAGGAGCTATCTAAATATGCTCTTCTCCTTCCAACTTTGCCCAAGGGCAACACAGAAGGGCAAATTTTGTGTTAAGTGTAGGAAAACGTCACTAGATTAAGAAAAAAAAATACTTAGAAACTTTTTACAGCAGCAACTGGATAAGACCACCTTTCAGGATGAGTGCTCTGACCAATCTGGAATATTTTCAATCAGCAAACCGTATGGCAAGGATAGGTAACTAATGCAAAATGGATGTGGTCTTCTTTGGCTATTTACTGGAGTTTTTGCTGACTGCACTCAGCACATGCAGATAAAAAATTGCATGCTTAAGTAAAAGGAACAAAGAAAACACTGCAAATGGTGGAATTGAGATACAGTGATTTACTCCTTTCTACTTGAAATACAGAGTGCCAAAAGGAAGACTTCACTTACAAAAAAAGATTGAAATAAAAAAGTACCAAAACATCAGTTAAGTCACATGAAAGCCTCAATGCTACTTGATCCTTTGAAAACAGCACAGAAGAAACAGAATTATGTTACAAGACACATGCAGCACCTTCTCTGCGACAGTTAAACTCCACTAAGATTTTGCACACCATATTCAATGACTGATTGCCAGACTTTATTTTTATTAGAAGTGGAATACAAAATGCAGCTACCATAATGTAGAAGGAACTTGGAATGAAGGAGGTGAAATATAAAATGTCAAGATAATAAATCAACTTTCTTCTATAGAAACACATTTGAAGAGCTCAAGGAAGAGATGGATAACGTAAGAATTGTAGAAAGAGAAGTAAGAGAGGGATTTTGGAGATGAGACAGAGGGAGAAAGTATGCTTGAATGAACTTCTTCATATTAAAAGCAGGGAGAAGTATTTATCTGTGCCTGAAGATTAAAACAAACTTGACATCAGATGTAAAGCTGTGATGAAACCATTCTCTAAAGAGATGCAATAAGAAAGAAAAAGTCTTATGAAACAGAATTTTTTTACCCTTTAAAAAGCTCAGCACTGTAAACACAATCAAGACAACATGGTAAGTTTAGAGAAAGAAGTTTTAAATGGATCTGGTGCTTCACCAAATGAATGAAACTGTCGGGAACCAAAATATTTATTGCAAAAAAAAAGAAAAATAAAGAACAGGAGTTCATTTTCTGACTACACTAGAAAAGGTGCAACTGCATAATGAAAATCAAAGCAATGGAAACTGCTATTTATGCAGGTCACTCCAAAAGTAATGCCTCCTATTTATTTCCACGGAAACGACAACAGATACAATGAGCACAGTAACACTATTTGATAAATTCTCAGCTACAGAACACTACTTTTCAACACAGTCATTACCATTAGCTATGCATTTTTGCCAGCGATGAACAAGAGCCTGAGTACTGCACTACTAAAAATCTGCACCAGTGGAGGTGACCTCACCTGCTACTAATGATAGTGTAATTGCTGGTGTGTTGCCCACACAGTCCATCTTTCAACAGACTGAACAGATGGAAGTCAGAAGGTGCCAAATCCAGACTATATGGTGGACAGTCTAGCCAAGACTGGCCATGTGCTCCACTGTCTTCCAAGTGGGATGGGGTCTGCTGTTATCATGTTGCAAAAGAAAGGCTGTCTTCTTCTCTGGCCTGACCCTGTAAGCTTGAGCCTTCAGCTCAGTCAGTGCCATGATTCAGTGGTCAGAGTTGATGGTCTGTCTGAGTTCCTGAAAAGTCCATAGTGATCACCCCTTTCCCATCCCTAAAGACAGTGCACATAACTTTACCTGCTGAGAGCTGCATCTTGAACTTTTTCTTTGATGGGATTCCCATGTCACCACTCCATGGACTGCTGTTTTGATTCTGGCTAATAGTGGTGGCATCATGTCTGCACACCAGTAATGATGTGATCCAGAAAACTGTCACCTTAAGTTTCATTCAACACATCCTGAGAAACCTGTATCTGGTGCTCTTTCTGTTCCTGTGTGAGCATTCGTTGGATCCACCTGTGCCAACTTTGCAATATTCCAATGTTGTCACCATTGTTTCTAATGTACTGCAGCCAATATTCAGCTCTGTACACAGTTCCCTGTTTGTAATCTGCTGATTCGTGTGGTTTAGCTGATCGAGATGCTCTTCTTTTTGTGTTATGACAGCTGTGCATGGCTGTCTGGAACGTGGGTTATCTTTCAAATTGCTGTTCCTACTGCTGAAATGCATCACACATCACCTCACTGTGCCAACATTCAGTGTTTGGTCTCCAAAAATATTCAGCAAGTGTTGATGAATGTCTGTGGGTGCAATTTTTTCCACATGGAGGAATTCAATTCCACACCTTTGTTTCAGATGCACTTTTACGTCAGAAATCATTTTGTTGCTGTGCTACAGATGGTCCCTCTGCTGCCATCTGTAGCATAGCAACAAAATGTAATGGAATATTAGTGGGAAGGTTCAACCTTTATTGCCACACCAACATCTGCCTCCAGTGCTGTGGGACAGGGCCATAAAAAGGCATTACTTTTGGAGCATTCTTCGTAATTAATAAAGTCCTGATTTGCATATGCTTAACATGACTTTTGAAGGAAAACACTGCAGTATGCAGTTAATTTGAAGGTTATACTCAAAGCATGAGGAATACATTTGGGTCTTGACTCAGGTTAGCACTCAACAAAGCCCAAGTTTTTCCAGGACAATTACCCCAAAATCTCCAAAATGCATCATAACTTTAATTAAAGGTATGTTACGTTTAGTCACAGAATCACAGCATGGCCAGGGTTGGAAGGGACCTCAAGGATCATGAATCTCCAACCCCTCTGCCACATGCAAGGCCACCAACCTCCACATTTAATGCTAGACCAGGCTGCCCAGGGCCCCATCCAACCTGGCCTTGAACACCTCCAGGGACGGGGCATCCACAGCCTCTCTGGGCAGCTGTTCCAGCACCTCACCACTCTCTCCATAAAGAACTTCCCCCTGACATCCAACCTAAATCTTCCCTCCCTGAACTTAAAGTTAAAACTATTTCCCCTTGCCCTGCTGTTATCTGTCCTTTCAAAGAGTTGAAAAAGAGTCACTACAACCAAGTGGTGACTGTCTCACTATGCAAGCTGCCACCTGTCCCCTAGTGACTCCAAGATGTCTGAACAGCTGCATATCCACATCCAGGAGGAAAACCCTAACAGCTCCTGCAGTTGCTTTCAATCAGCATTCATCATTACCACTGGTGTCTGCTGGTTCACAGCAGAATGCTTTGAATGGGAGAATTATGGATGGACAGCCTCCATCAGAGATACTGCAGGTTCAATCAAAGTTTAAACCAATAACTCATCATCTGAGTACAATGGCTAATTCACAGAACCTAGAGATACTGAATCTAACCAATTTGCTTTTAAATTCTAAGACCACTGAGAATATGTGGGGAGAACAATGTAAGAATACCAAAATCTTTTGAAATCTTTTACTAAAAACTGTCAAAAAGAGGTCAAAAAATTAGGCTATTCTGAAATAAAAAACAAAACACAAGCATTTCTTGTATTTCACTTAGGCAGACTCTTATTTTATAAATTCAGAAAATGTAACAGACATAACTAACACAGAAGTACACAAATAAGGGACATTTAAGATCAGCCTTCTCTGTGAGAATTAAGTGTGACATAACAACTATAGAAGACACAGGCTGTAATTATATGATTTAAGAATTGTCTTAAGAAATGCTACCAGACTCCTAAGTTAAGGCCACTGTGTTATCAGTTACCAGAGACTCAAACTCACAAGACTTCATATTTCTTTTCAATTTAATTCCCAGGGAACTGAATATTGAAGGCAAATATAAAGTCCAAATACACATTACAGAGAGAATAATGGTCCAGAGATGATGTATTAAAAAAAAGCCCCAAGAAACTAATTAGCATCAGTTTCATTAGAAAAAAATATATATATACATTGCACAGAATGGTAAATGTCCATTTTGCTATGTTTTTCAAACAAAAGCAGTACTGGCCTCATACTGTTTGCTAAGAGATATTTTAAAAATTTGCACTGCAAAAGCCCTAATGGGAACAGAAGACCCACATGAGTCTCAGAAGAGACCTATATCAGAAACAACATCTGCAGTGTGTAAAATAAATTACCTAAGAATGACAGTATTTTCTGATGCAAAACAAATCTAAACTGTTTGTATCCACTTAAGGGGCTCAAAACAGGCAAACTCCATGCTTACTTAAGCAAGTAGCACATTATTTGCATTTTTAGAATGGTCTTCAAACAACCACAGCCTTTGGCTGAGAGGGTATGAAGCTGGTGTCCAAAAAGCCTAAACGAGTGTCAGCAGCCATTGACCTGTTTTTAGTCCTGTTACCCTGAAATGTGAAGCAGATGCATCAGATGGAAAAATCTGTGTTAGGAAGTGTCTTATGATAGGAGTTTATACATTACTGACTGAAGACAGGCTGGACATCATAGGAGAAAACATTCTCACACAGTCAAACATTTCACTATTGCTGAAGAGTACTGAAACTTCCCCAGGTTCAGAACTGATTTTTTTCTTGTTCTTAGAGTGAAGAAGATGTTCTTGTAGAGGAGCTCCAGTTAAATACAGTTTGTCTCCAGAAGATTATAAAAAAAGCTTTTATTCCAACTGAATCCTAACTTTCAGCAGAAAAACATACTTGTAGTTTTAAGAATTTAAAAGGACTGTTGGATGAAACAAAGGTCATGTAGCTGGCAGGTGCTCTTATCTACGTAAATATAACATCAGTTTGTAAAGTCACAGTGACAACAACTTTTCAGTTATATGGAGACAGCTATGTTTTGATTCTGTGTTTTTGAACATGCAAGCAGTAGAACTGAAAGCCATTAAGCTTTTCTCAGGATATCAATGTGACTTAGGCCAATTTGGTTAGCCTGCCATGGATTTGAATGATAATTAGTTACATTGAAAACGTTGACTGGAGAAAGGTGATTTATTTGCTGTTGAATAGAAGATGTGCTAGGAACATGTCAGTTTAATAAACTGCAGGTTCTCTTTATGACAGCTTATCTTCAGGACTTTATAAATTCAAATGAAGTAGCTTGTGGTCTATTTCATTTATAAATTTATGGCACTGAAGAATTAGATTTCAGGAGTTAGATATAAAAAAATGTTTTAGACTACGCTTACTTGATAAATATTGTTAAAATGCAAACAGTTATAACTTTATCTTTACAGGCCATGTCATCATAACTTTGTCTATGAATGTTACGGTATATAAATACTAAAATTGCTACTATGGTTATGGTTTTAATACATTAACGTTGATAATGACAAGCAGAACAGAACAGAACAGAAAATGTTTCTCAAAGGGAAGGAAAACAAAAAAAGGCAATAACCACTTGGAGTTTGAATCCCAATTCAGAAAAGCACTTACATCTTATACTGCTTAGGTAAATTCTGAAGCCTGTACTCAGCTATAGGTCATGCAAAATTGCATTTCCAGAAATGGGAAAATAATAATAATTAAAAAAAAAAGATAATTCTTATAAGAATAATAAGGTAGCTGAATAGATTCTGAACTGTAAAGTACAGCTGTAAAACCATAAAGAAATCAATTAGTAATACATTTTTGAATGGATTGTCTAAGAGATAAGTCTCACATTATCTGCATTTTTATAGAAAAACTAATACCTCTTTTGGTATCATTTTTGTTTGGCTGGCAGCAAATGTACTAATCCCTTCACAGAATTGTGAATTATTCACTTTACTTTAAAGCTGAGGTGAGCTTAGGGTAGCACATACAATGGTTGCAGCATTCATCTAATAGATGGTAATAAGTTAAAATGAAGTAATCAATCTACAACATGCCAGCTTTGATAAAAACTTACATTATTCAGGGAAGATGTCAGATTAGAAAGAAGTTAAAACAAATTTTGTTACATTAATAGACTTGTTTGCTGGATTCACTAACACACACTGTAAGCTACATATGGCATGCTTTGGCAGCCATTCAATTTAATTCACTTGATTTTGTTGGGATGTTAAGAATTTTTTTCAAAGAGAAAAAGTCTAAGAAGGCTTTTAAATTCTGGACATACATAAAATCACATCTCGTGAAAAGGAAATTTAGGAATATAGTAGGAAATCTGTACCTGTTTAAGTACTAAAATAATCTTATGAAGGCTTGCAAATGAGGTCAGTCAAATAATACAAAGGCCCATGTGCAATACCTTTTGGGGGAGCTGATGTTATAAAAAGCATGGTTTTCCTTTTTGGCAGTGACTTGCAAGTGAAGCAATGGGTTATAAGTTCATGTATGCTCGACCGTTGTGGATCTAGAAACAAGATTTCCTTTTTTGTCTTTGAAAATGGGAATAGTAAGACTCACGCACATACAGAGCTGGTGATCTGAAGGGATGAAATCACAAAGTGCTAACCAAAGAAATCTGGATTGCTGTACAAGTTTGAAGTGTCTGGTACATTATGTGATGCAAATCAGTTTTTTACCAAAATGAACAGAGTTATCTCAGGCCAGAATAGAGAACATGGATTTCAAACCATGAAGCTACACAATGTGAAGAAAAGGTGTGACCAGGCGTCATACAAGCAGAGCAGAGACTAGCTCTGAAGAGGCTAATGACATAGTAGTCATGATGAAGCTAGGACAGGACTGCCCTCAGCTAGGAACAGCCACTTAAAACATCTACTTGAAGTCCTAGCTGTATCCTGAAGTATGTGCTGAATGCAGAAACAGATCTGCTAACAAAACTGACCGTGCCAAATTAAAGCTGCTTAGGTGAGCGTGCACCCAAGAGCTGCGATCACATCTCTGAATTTCAGTGCAGAGACACCATCTGTTTATAATGGTGCACTTTACATCACCTGTACTACTTCAGCAGCAGCCTTATTTTAAGCTATAGCTCATAATTCTCAAAAAAAACCCCAGTCTCTTAAGTAGTCCTCTTAATTTTCTTTTTTTTTTTGGTATGTTGTCTTGCTATAGTGCCAGAAAGCCAAGCACAAGTTACATTAAGCCTCCTAATTTCTACTCCTCAGAGATATAAATTTTAGCCCTTGAGCTATCCAGATCTACTTCAAAATGAATTAACTTAAAATCCATGAAGCATTTCAATTATAAGCACAAAAAACATTTAGATACTGGTCTAGAAGTAAAATATATCCTTTTAATAGCAAAGTAATTTTGTTAAAAGCCATCTGAAGACAAAATGATTCTTCCATCCACAAACTGTGACCAAATGATTTTGTCAGCTTTATCTGAATCCACTAACACACACTGCATACATGCAAACAGCACTTTATCACTCTCTGTGCAGAGGTACAAAATGTTCCATTTTGATTTCAACAGAATGCAGGAACAGTGAGATCAGCAGTCCAAGCAGCAGGGAACTGACAGAAACAAGATCAATATGCAACTGCTTAAAAGATGCTATTTTACTAGCATTATTTTGGAAAGATAGTAATATCTAATGAAGTCAATTAAAAACCTGCAAGTAATGCTACAACCTGCAGTACATGCAAACGTGTACCTATCTGTTGGGGGTAATTCCTTCCAAAAACAGAGGTATACAGGAACAAGACACTTATTCTCTTAGAAATCCTGAAAGTCACGATCTAAAAGAAATACCTAAATTATCCAAGTCTTTCAAAAATTCTACTTACTCACCATGCTTATGACAGTATGGGAGAGATTCAGAAGAGGCAGAAGCTATCCAGAGAAAAAAAGTATTCATCTGGACAAATTTCTACCCTTTCTGTCAAGGTTTCATCCTGAGTCACTACGATAATGACGTCCTAACAAGATGAACAAACCTAGGTGACAAGCATTTCTTGTGCTGCTCACTGGTGAAATGGTCTTTGATGTCTTTCTGAAAATCTTCAGAGGAAGAACACAGCATTTACCTGCAAGTTGTAGTCCTGAAGAATTTTCACTAGCGAGTCTCTCAAATTAGGAATTTCCATGCCTTCCTTAATACGATGAATCAAAAGAATGGGGTCAACATGAGTTCCAATATTGTTCAACAAACCAGTAATAAAAGCTGTGAAAAACAAGAAACAAGTAAATTAAGAAAAGAATCCATCCACCTTATAAAGGATGCTTCAGTGGCAGACAGGCTTTGGCTGTTTCTATGACAGCTCTTTACAGAGAGAGCACTGAAACACTTTTACATAGCCTTCACATCTTTCTTACAGTTGCATTTACTTGAAAATAGGCCTTTAGGGAAGATAAAGACACAGTTTGCCTATTTACAGAACTCCAGAGGTATCTGGAAAACAGATACCAGAGTAGCCAGAGCAAGTCATCAAAACCACAAGTGAATAACACATTTCAATTTAATAAAAAAGTACTTGTACAAATAGAAGTAGAAAATTCACTTCATTATTTGAATATTTTATTCTAAATTGCAGGATTAAGAAGTGTATTTGCAAGCACTTAACTTCAAGGAAACATGTTTCTCGACAGTGACAAGATGGATACAAATGTCCAACTTCCTGAAATGCAACTGGCTAAATGAAATAGAAGGATGAACTTCAAGTAAGACTGAGAGCTGACCTCAGTGCTCAATAACATGCTTTAACTCGGTCAGCACTGAAGTTAGCAGGAAGTTGGACACAGTGATCTTTGAAGGTCCCTTCCAACTGAACTATTCTGAATGTTTTTCTTCAAAGCCCAAAAATAAAGAACACCACTGGAGTTGCTCTGCTTAACGGCAGATGGAATGGAGATAACTGTATATGCTTTGAGTTCCTTTTCCTCTAAAGTTGTCAATAACTGGAGCAGTGTTTTTAGCAAGGAATTACATTTAGATAGGGATTTCTGTTGGTAAGATAACTTGACAACATCATAATTCCAAATTAGTAACAGATTTTGGTTGCGGCTGCTTGTCAGAATTAGTGGACAAGTGATGAAAATACATTTATTCTGATGTTAATTCTATGAGACATTCAATCCTTTGGAAAAAGAGATCCCCACAGAGATTTTTGAGTCTTGATTTAAAGCACCAAAAGAGATTGCAAAACTAACAAAATTTGTAGTTAAAATAATTCTGTATTTTCCCAGTTATATGAACTCCTCTGAGTTTGCTTCCTGAACAAAACTGATGCTGTTAAGAAAATTCTGACAGCTTCTGATTCCATCTGAACTTTAAACTTGAGCAGATGTTCATATTGTGGATAAAGAGCAAAAATGCTCTTGTTATTATAGATCATGCATTGATGACACAGAAATAAAACAACAACTGAGGGACAGATAGGTGAAGACTCTCCATTTTCAAAATTTCCAAGGGAAGCAGCTGTAGTAAACATCAGGGCTTATTATGAGGGTGCCTAAAAATAAAGCTTCATACAGTGCCAAATTAAAAGTACCATTCTGTTCTTACTTTGTCATTAAGGACATAACTGCATAGAGCTTTGTCAAGTGTTAAATCTCTATGTACTCATCCTATAGCATGCCCACATGTTGCCTTGTGGGAAGCTTCTATGCTCAGAAGGAGGAGATAAGGCATGCTCTACAAACCAGAACATCTCCCTGATGATCCAAAAATGCCTTTGCTAACATGCATGTGGATAATTCAATCCTTTACCTGTAATAGCATTCCACAAAAAATACACAGGAAAGGCTAAGAAACTATCCTGCTTACGTGGTTTGTCAATAGAATATAAGATGAGGTCTTCCCAAAGTTCTCCATCATCTTGTTCCTTGGCAAATTCAATAGCTTTATCTACATCTTGCAGTTCTTCCATTATCATCTTCAAAGCACTGCGGCTGTTACCCATTCTGCCTAGAAGGATAAAATAAAGAGTTTATAAAACCTAAAGCACTGAGTACTGATAAGCATTTAAGAAGCTCTTGTTGCTTTTTCCTTATGAATTTTCTAAGTGATAAGTTCCCCCACATTAAAAACCTAATCTAATCAACTTGATGAAAGGAAAGGTTATTCCAGAGCTACCAGTATCACCTGAACATGTGCACAGAGTACTTTGCTGGACTGGGACCCAGATTCATTCTTACAGACTTGGTGGGTCACACTGGGGGCTCTAAACTGCAGCAACATCTGACATAAGGTGAAGTGTGCTCATGTGTACGTATGTTTGCATGCATATGAACTTTGAGATGATTTACCTCTTGTTAAGAATTTTTATGAACACACTTAACTTGCTCTAAGTATAGTTCAGCTTACATTCATGGAAAATAAGAGGGAGGAAGCAGTAGCTTTGAACTGTTCTTTAAGTAAATCCATGAGTAAACTCTACTCTGCTCTCAAATGCTCCACAAAATGTTCTTATTAAAAAAAAAAGATCAATTATATCAGTAATAAACACTTTCCATTCTGATTATGATTAATACATGAACACACATACAAATCTTAGAGTCATACAACGGCTCCCATTCAGAGGTGGGGAAGTTAATTTATGTTTGAATAGTTTAAAATTATTTTTTTAAATAAGAAAAAGCCAGCACTAGCAAACCTTCTGCCTAAGCAAAAGGTAACATTAAGCTCCTGGAATGTGCTCGGAGTAAGACCTGTTTTATTTCTTCCTTGTTCTCAAACAGAGAGAATAACTCTTCTCTTGGAGGTTCTCTCAAAATCATATCATATGAATAATCAATTCCTTTATTTTCCAAATCATGTTATTTGGTCTTACTGACTGCATACCAACTTTGTCTTTGGGAAGTGTGTTAAAAGCCAGTAGACAATACATCACACGTTTTTGCAGCATAAACTTCATGACAAGATTAAAAGCATGTTGTAATTTATCACAGTGAGAGATACTTACTCAGAAGATAAACTGTCTCTTCTACAAAGTTTCTCTGTTGGCAGATCTCTAGAGCCTTGAATTAAGACAAGAGAAGAAAGAAAGAGAATACAGGGAACCATGTAACAAGATATTTTATTGATCACAAATGCTACAAGAAACTAAAGGATACTTTTCCATGAAGTCGCATTACTCATTTTGACAGGAATACAGCTTCCTTAACATGCACCATCAGGTCCTCTGGCATTAATTAAAAGTGGCAGTTTTCACTTTTTTCTCCAAGATCAAATAATTTTAGTAACTGGGATGTTCTTCAGCTACACAGAGATTCTGTAATTGCCCATGACATTAGCTCTCAGCAGTCACAGAACCTGTGCACAGTTGAAAAACACCCCAGTTACTACAATTACCAAACTGATTACCAGTAAGTTCTTAGCAATGCAAATCAGGCAGGACTGGGTGTGCCATAAATGATGCCACATCTGTTTACAACCTAGAAGAAGAGAGCAAACTCAAGACTCACTGAATTTCCATGAAATTAATTGTTCACCAAATAAATATTTTCATACTTGGAAATCAAAACTATATCTTCATAAGATATACATAAGATATACATATACATAAGATAGAGGTAGGAATGAACTCTTCCTTCTATTCTCAAATTGTTTCAGATGGGTTACTACGAAGTCTAAATATATACACAATGAATTTCAGGGGCAGTGTAGTGATTTCACAACCAGATACTTTGGGTACTTGAAGGTATAAATAATTAGCAATGAACATATTATAAACAGAGCTGATAACCTTTTTTCTCTCCACTTAGAAATTAAAGTACAAATTACCAAGTTTTCAGTATTTCTGGAAGCTGCACATTTAGTGACTGCCATGCTCCCTCTAGAGGAAAAGAGGGAACAGTCATATTCTTTTCTTCAGTTTGTTTTACACGAGCTTTGCTAAACTGCACTTGAAAGCAGTGGCTTAGTTTTAGAGAAATAGAATGACTTCTTGCATTGTTTATCATTTATTTATGGCAGCAGTAAGTATGAGTTTGTTCAAATTGTTTTTTTCTTTCAATTTTCACACAGCACTGGAATCAGCTTAACAGAAACTGAAGACCTGGGAAATTATGGTTCTCCCTTTTATGTCCTTGGAGCAAATTTATGTATGTAGCAAAAAGCACTGCTCTAGGGCATTTATGGTAAAAAGTACAAAGCCTGATCCAAAGGTAACGTGTTCTGTTTTTCAGTGTTGGCCCACAACATCAGAGACAGATGGTGGTGGTACAGCAGAAGGGGTTGAACCTTCCCACCAATATTCCATTATATTTTGTGGTTGTGCAACAGATGGCAGCAGAGGGGCAGTCTGACCAAATGGTGCCTGACATGGAAGTGTGTATGAAGCAAAGGGCTGGGTTGGATCTCTGACATGTTCTTGTTTACAGACTAAAGCAGTGCCAACAATGTGGTTGCATCAATGCTTTTCTGCACCAGCAACCACGGAACATAGACAGCTGGATCTGAAATAACTACAGTTATTTTGCATCGAAAGAAAAAAATGTGCAAGTAAGGTTTGACACATAAAACCCTGATCATGCAAATAATACATATGTCAAAATACTAGATTTTGAGATAATAAATAAAAAATACTAGATTTTAGAGAATCACAGTCAAAAAAGTAAACATCATTGATTAAAGTCTCTGTCTGGCAGCCCTACCAAGCTCACTGCCTAAAAACATCACTGAAATAATGTAGTTTTTGGAACAATTGGGACAATTTTAACAAAGACGAAGGCTGCAGTCTTAACACTGTTTTATTTTCCTGTGTTGCACAGAAAAGTTGACTGACAATTGAAAAAAGCAAGCAAAATAAGAGAGGTGCTATGAATGGTTCTGTTTAAAGTGTCAACCACATAAACTACAGTATTTGATATTACTTTTAAACTGTTCCACAAGTGTCATCACTACATCTGCATCCAGAGAGGCAAACTTTCAGCTTGGCTGAGCAGATTAGACCTTAACAGCAAAAACACATTTAATAAAATACTGACCCAAATGAAGAGTAAAACTCAAATTTCCATTCCATTCACTTTAATTCAGAAGTGTTAAATTTAAAAAAAAAAAAACAACAAAAAACCACGAGCTTCATTAGTCCGTTATATTTGATGAGACAAAGTAAGGAGGGGGGAAATGTAAAAAGGATAAAGAAGATGGCAACACAGTACACTGTAAAATTCCCAGTCTGCTAGCAAAAGTACAAAGTCAAAATATTTCTGGCTCTGTTAGTTTACTGGCTGTTAAATTGTGTAAGTTACTTGAAAACAACTCAGAACCTTAGAATATAAAGCTAGAAAACATACAGTTAAGGTGATCTATTTTTCAAGACCTAACACTGACTATGCTTAGATTTTTCAAAACAATTGTTTATTTACTGCAACCACAAGCCACTGCCTTAGTCAGGCACTGATGAATAAAGATGCTTCAGGCATGCATCAAGTGTGAATTTTGAACTTCTGCCTTAAAAACCATCTCAGATTCCTGCATTCTGAGCTACAAGAGAAAGGTCTTTGCTACCAGCCAGGAGAAGGTGCATCACTTCTGCAGGTAATGATCACAAAGCCAAAGGATTCCTCCTTTTGGCAGTAGAGGGCAGTACCAGACATATTTACAAATGTACAATTCTACAAGCATGAGATGTAAAAATCCGTGACTTGTGTTATGGAGCTTACCTTCTCTAGTGGACAGTGTGTGCTGTCTCTGAGAAATGGCAGTAAATTTGGACGATCATATTCAGCATAAAGACTGATCTGTTTTTCATGATACCGTTGTCCTTTATGGTGGTCTCTTTTGAAAAGCTTGTGCAAATACTAAGAATCAAAAAAAGAAATGAAATTCAGAAACTCTCTCATAACATTATTTGGACTGTATACAAAACCCTTCATCAATTCCTCAGGAATATACTAACACATACTAAAAGGCACAAAGATTAAATCCTGATTCAAAAGGCTAATTCTTTTTTCCCCATGGTAGTCTAATCACAGCGTTCTCCATTAACTCCATTAACTCTGTAAAACACATTTTTAGCAACATTTGAGTACATGTCCTTTAATCTTCACAGATTTTGAATTTTATAGAAAACTTTGGAGAAATACATCAAGTGAAACATTTATTTATCTAGATATGCTTGGCCACTGTGGGTAAGTTTAAATGATGAACATTTTAACCAAAGTACTGGTACTATAAATAGAGAGGTGAAGGCCATTCTTCCTCTATGAGCAAAAAAAAAAAAAAAGACTTAACAATAATCTGGAGGGTCACTTGTATCCAAAGGGAAGCAGACTCCACACTTTGAAACAAATGCATGCCCTCCATAAACTGAGGGCATCTTCTTCGAAAAGCTCTTGGGCTGCAGGCTGCACACTTCATAGAGTTGTTTGCTATAATCAGATCTCTAACTCATAAACTCACTCTCTCCAGCAGATCGATCGATGCCTTGAGCCCCAACACAGCAGCAAGTTAAAACTTCCCTCCCTAATACAGCCCAAGATCACAGTTACATGTTAAGCATTCTACCAACAGCACGCTCCAACTGAAGAGTTGCTCTCAGAATAGCAATTTGGAGCCACAGTTGTTCTGATGCATTGTAATTCTGCACAAAGCAGAACAGTCTTGCAGAGTATGGGAGTTATTGCTCTAGAAAGATAAGGAGTTCATTGTCTTTATGGAACAGCAAAATGTGTTTCAGAGTTGCATCCAACATCCAACCCCACTTCTATGTATTGAAAGAGGAAGTGAGAAGCAAGCAAGAAGGAAATGACCAGAGAGGACAAGCATCTGCAATGCTAATAAGGAATACCTCAGAGGATGTTAACCAAAAAGCAGTACATTACCAAGTTCTCACATGTATATATTTCAAGATTATTACTATTGTAAAAATGCTATGACTGTGGTAAAAAGTGGCTGAGCAGAAGTAGCCACTTTGGTTGTGATGATTTATGGAATTTCAGTATCACGTGCACATTGACAGCATACACACATGGGATCACAGAATCCTTAGAGTTGAAAGGGACCTCTGAAGCTCATCTAGGTCCAACTCCCCTGCAATGAACATGGACACCACAGACAGATCAGGTTGCCCAGGTCCTTAACCAGCCTCACACTGATAGTCTCCAGGGACAGGGCATCAACCACATCTCTGGGCAACCTGTTTCAGTGCCACAACACTCTCATTGTAAAAGAGTGTAAAAAAACCTACATCTAACCTCTTTGAGCTTGAAACCATTTCCCCTTGTTCTATCACCACAGACCCTGCTAGAGAGCCTGTCTCCTCTCCTGTAGCTCCCCTTAAATACTGAAAGGCCACTATAAGGTCACCTCGTGGACTTCTCCTTGCTAAAGAGCCCCAGCTCTCTCAGCCTGTCCTCGAAGGAAAGGTGATCTATAAGAGATGTGTCCTGCAAATATCTTATCCAGTTCAAAGTGAAACTAGTAGAAAATAGAAGTTTTTACCACATGCTGTAGTTCAGGTCTGTTTTCTAGCTCTTCAACAACTCTGTCAATCTGCAAGAAAACAAACAAAAACCAAGAGATTAGCAAATCTCTGTGAACATCACATTCACAGGATTGAAAAGAGGATGAAAAATGCAAGCAGCACTGGATCACCGTATCATGAACTTGTCATACTCACAGAAATTTTATCTTCATTATCCAAAAGCATGTCTACTGCTTTCTAAAGTAAAGAAAAAATCCAGGTAAGAAAAAGGTATGCACATTTTGTCAGTCTTGATTACAGCATTATGTTTGTTCACTGATGGGTATCGGATGGACAATGCAGACTTATTCTTTTCAGCAGCATTAATTCAGAAAGCAGTTTGCATAACAACAGCACTCTCCAACAGCAGAGCATTACAGGTAAACAAACACATAATGTACTTTTCCAGAATACCTGTCCAAAGTTTAGACACTAACAGTAATCAATTCTGTGCACTTACACTGCAGGTAAAATACGCCCATTGAATCATGGCCCATAAAAGGCCATAGGCAAATACTGAAGAAATACAATTTGTCCCAATGCAAAAGTCAGCTGCAGGGTGATGGCTGTAAAGGAAACACACAGCTCAACTTGCCTTACAATTGGATTCCTCCAGCCTATCTGCACACTGCTACTGTAACAGGAGCAGCCAAGATCATGTAAACAATAGTAGTCATCAGGGTGCCTGCTCTGCTTCCACTTTTAAGATCAAATTTTGGTTCAATAAAATAAACTCACAGATGCTTGATACAACTTACTATATTTATTTTTTTTTAAATGATACACTATACCAAATGATCATCTTTGGTATAGATTGCTCCATATTTTAGTTCCAGTGCTGAAACAACAGCTGCACAGAAACTGATGATCTACTTGTTTTCTCCCAAGGATCACAGAGACTGTTTCCCCAAGTACCAAACAGATTCTTTTCCCAGCACGCTCATTTGCTGAGGTTTTAGACAACTGGGAAGAAAGAAGACTGAATTTGGCACCATATGCACACTTCTGGATTTTTGAGATTTAAGTTAATGACTACACAAACTTCCAGAAACAGAGTAATTAATTACAATGAAAAAAAGTGCAAAATACATTCAAAATATGCCTCACAACAGATTAACTGCTTGCTAAATTTGGCTCCTCAGCAGTGTGAACTGATGAGAAACGCAGAAAAATATCATTGTGTAAGTCTACCTACAAAAATGATCTCAGAACTGGCACTCTTCTCACTGTGAGTGATACTCAAATGGAAATATAAAAGAAAAATTTCATCCTTGGATTAATCACTATGCAATCCAGGCAAACATCTCCTTGTCTCAGAATGTATCCAGACACAGAAAAAAACCTCTATGCCTCACTGCTATCTTTAAACTAATTTATTCACAATTTGTTAAGATATCTCTAGCTGAAAGTGAATGTTAAAAGCACCATACCTCTGAATCAAAATCCATGAGCAGAACAATTTTATCTTTGATGGAACCGAACAGATTGTGCTTGTGGATCAACTGGAAGACGTCTTTGTGTCTCAGAGTTAGGTAAATTTCTAGGGCTCTGCCATAGCGCTGATCATAAGTATACCTGCCAAAAAGCAACGTTATAATTTATGTGACCTAAGTGAAAGAAAATCACCTCTGAGGGGAAAAAAAATAAGTATATGTCAGAATACAAAACATATTAGGTTGCTACTTGATTTTATGAATATTTGAATAGTTGCCAGTTTTTTTAATGATGAGGAATAGCACTGTGCAACTCCATTTATGTAACAGTCACAGTATTTATGTTCTGCGGTTCCTGCATTTTCACTATCTCCTGCTTTAAAACCACAAGGAAAGCTACACAAAAACATTAGCTTTTCTAATTTTGGAAGCCACATGAAAACCACTTCAGAGCAAAATAAAATTACAAAAAAAAAAAAAACGAACACACAAAAAAACAACCCATATTGTTCTCTTAAAACTTTGGGACAAACAGTAACAGAGCAGCAGACAGTAGCTCTGCCTTCTTCAAAAGAGGGTGTATGAAGATAACTTAATATAGGTGGGCATCAGGCTGATTGTAACCTTGTAAGAAGTACTTTAGAACCAGATCAGTTTTAACACATTTTCTAGTCACATATTTCCAGCCATGCAGTAAACTCAAATATACTATTTTTGAAACAGAGGGGAAAAAAAAAAAACAGATTATCTTCCTGCTATTTTTCTCTTCCCAAAAAAGACTTCCTCAGGCAGCACAGAGAGAAACGTAAGCTATTTGTTTTGGAAAGTGAAGTAGCAAATCCAATCTCATATTAAACTCTTTGCCTTCAAACACCGCAACACTGCAACACAGCAAGTATCTCTGTTAAGAGAGTTAGACAAATATTTATAACCTACTGCATCCTATCTCAAGCACACTTGCTGTAATAGGAGTTTTAAATTGTACTCACAGTTCTGCAAGGGTTCTTAACAATGTCCTGTTTTGTGGATCTTTCTTCAGGTGATCTACTACAGCTTGAACTATGATTGTGTTGTTGTAGAGATCTCCAGGCCACTCTTTTATCAGGGTTGCAAACCCCTAAAAGTGTAAGAGATTGTAACAGAAACAGAAGTAAATGCCTAAGGAACATTTCAAAACATCAAAGCCCCAGCTAAGCCTCTGAGATGATACATGCTGTGCTACACCTCTAAGCCACTTCTACATGCCCACAAACATGCACAGTGTATAGATTTTCCTTCTTAGGGCAACGTTATCAAGATTCATGAAGCTGGGTCTCTTTCAGGTGTTGCTTGCTTTGTGAGGCAGGTGGACTACTTGTTTTACATTAAACAACTAAAAATAAAAGTATTCCTAATAAGTAAACAATCCCAAAATACTAGTGTTCTCTGAAAAACATTTTACTTATTCTTCTGTAAGCAAACTAAATGTGTCTTTTCTTGCTATCATGGAATTGTTCATCGACAACCTGTTTGAACAAAATGGAGAATCTGTCATTGGAATTCTACACTGCTGAGTGTGTTTTGCTTGCAACTGCTGCTACATGTGGACATGTCTGGCTGTAGTACCTCATAGTCACTCTCCAAAAACTCATGCAGGACCATCTCGTAGATAAGAGGTTTCAAAACTGGATCCCGTCTGGGCAAGTAACGACTAATTGCCTGTAGGAACAAAAAGAAGACAGAGTAAGAAGGGGTATGATATATAACATCCTAGTATTTTAATGACAGAACAAGGAGTTGTTGGGAAACAAACAACAAAGCCATGCACAAAACATGGCTTTTAGTCAACACTGGAAACACTGTATGCTCTGATTTGTAAGTAGCATCCTAGTATTACTTGCTTTAAGACGACACACATCAGAATCATATAACTTACCTGAAAGAAATGTCATTAGATAGATAGTGGTAAGATACTAGTTGGAATGGGAAAATGAGCCACTGGACTAAACCAAGGTGTACTGACCTGCAGTCATTAGAGAATAAAACATACACAAAAGACCCCTCAGAAAAAGTTCTCAAAACCCATTTTGCCTAGTCTTTCCATTATATCTTGTAAAAAAGTATGAGCACTCATTAGTTGAAAAATGCCTACTTTTAATTTGTGACTTACTGTGAAGCCATTACAGTTTTGAAGAGTTTTGTTTCACTAGCTATTTTTACACATCCGAACAAAAATTAATTTGAGAATATACCTCTCCAAGGAAATTCTGAATGAATGTGACCTGTTGCTCTATAGAAGGTGTTAAGAAACTGCATGCTGACTGCAGGGAGACAGGAATCTGCCCGAATTAATTAGCTCATGCCATGGAATTTCAGCACAGCTTCTTATTTACCACTACTATTCCACACAAAAAGAGGCCAAGGTTATTACAGCCTGCCAAAACAAACCCTATCACTGCTTGCCATGCTGGGACTCTGGGGTTTATGGCTGAAAGCCCAGCACCAATGAAATTCCTCCAAACACTCGGAGACGTTGCCTGTTGCTCACTAACAGAACACGTTGAGGAGCATTTCATTACTGAGGCTGTTTAAACAAAGCAGAAAAAATAACATTACACTACAACACAGGTTGGTGTGGTTTTACAAACAATGACTATTCACAACCAATTCTCCCAGTATTTGACTTTGAAGTGCAGCGTGCTGCCAACACCAGCTCTCACCATCTGTCACAGAATTTAACAGCTACCTTGGGGCACAGAATTTAACAGCTACCTTGGGGCACAGCCCTGCCAGCTGCCCCAGGGAAGCAAACCACAAAGAAAGCAAGCTGGATGTCAGCCAGAGACTCGAAGAAGAGGATTCCCAAAATGTTCTCATACCCCCTTTCTGCTTTACTGTCACCTCCTAAGCAAACAGCTTCAGTGGAAAGGCTTTGCTGCAGTTTCTGACTCTGGTTTGCTAGCACCACTCACTGAGGAGCAAAGGCAGCTGCCTCTTCACGTAGGGCCAGAGAAACACAGAAAGGAAACCACTCTGGCCCCACGTCCCACTGTTTCAAAGGGAAATCACAACCACCTCCTGCAACCTGGCTCCTGCGCCCAGCGAAGACAGGAAAGTATCCAAATAATTTTTGAGCCAAGGCACAAAGCTGAACTAAAACCTATGCTGGAGGTTGCAAACTCTCCCTATTTTATCTTTAAGCAGTAGTTAAAGAGTGAGGTCAGACAGACAAAAAAGCTACAGAATTGGGATGCCTTTATATCAATTCCTGAGCCACACAGGGAAACTGACTTAAAGTGAAAAGAAGATGCTACATACAGAAGCATTTTCTTTCTTCTTTCTTCTTCACACATGCTTTCAGACTTCTGATCAATAAAAGCTGGATATACACAAGAAATCACATATAGAAGGTGACATGAGATAGCCTAAAACATCTCACCAATAAGCCCAAACCACAGATATGTATCCCTCAGAGAATACTTCTGAGATGAAACAAGCTGTCTTGATAATGCTGCTCACTGCTAAGCCCACCAAGTCAGGTGAAGTCTTTGAAGTGTCCTCTAGCCAACATTTTGGTCATTAAAACATCCCTGCTGCCACTTGATCATCCTGCACCCCCGCTGAAAGTCACTGCTGCCACAGCAGAATCAACAGCACGGAACATATCCCCCATGCCACAATCAACAGCACTCACAGTTTGACTTCCTCCAACAAATCCACCTCAATCCAGGCTGAAGGAACCCTGGACCTAATGCTGCAGTGATTCATGCACAAGCTCAAGACTCCATCAGGGTAACGCTGCTAGAGGAGCAGAGGAGCAGACTTGAGAATCACCAAGATGCAGCCTTGATAGCCAAATAGGATTTTTTAATATAGTACACTCAAAAAACCCTAAACCCACAAGCTATACTGCAACCATCAGGTTTCGGGCAACAGCTTGCAGATGAAGGGAAAAATCCTTAAGAAAATTTGCTTTTGAAATGCACAAATAATTCCAGAGAATGACAGTGTAATACAACCATTCCACAGCTAAGAGCTAAACTTCAAAAGTTCATGTAATTTTATTTCTTGGTCCTAGAAAACACTTTGTCTCCTCATCAAGACTAAAAGCCTTTATAGCCCAATTGTATTATTGTGTTTCATAGCTGCTGGTTGGATAAATACGTAAAAAATTCAAATAATGTAATACAAGAAATCACAAACATTACAAGAACTTAGATCTGGTTAAACTTACTTCACGTACCCTTAGTAACCTGGGAAAACCTGTATGAAATTGCAATAGTAAAATAAGAAAGGCAACTTGTAGAACTGCAACCTGAAGCTGAATGACGTAACATACTGTACTTTATGTTTTCCCAAGTCCATTTCCAAGGGATCTGAAAACAACCAACCCCTTAGAAAGGCAGTAATTTAGTAGAGATTTTTTTGCAGCAAACGTGCAAATATTTTTATATTTTACAGTCTGTTGGATGACATAAGTGGAATCAAGAAAAACATCCATTCCAGACACTTGTATCTACAGACAAAATAAAACCAATAGAACTAAGAAGCAGTGTATCAAAATTTCACCCGTACCTGCACTCAAGTCCTTTACTGGATTGAAATAAAAAGACAGAAGCAGGTGATTTCATCTTCCAGTGTGGCAAAGAGTGCACCGAACCACTAAGAACTCATCTAAAAGGCAAGGCTGTTCTTGCACTGGTGTGACTAACAAAAAAGCCATGCATTTCTAAAAACCATAACGCTGAAACACTTCCACTCTTTGAGCAGAATTAAACAGCTTAAAACCAGCAAGGGACTGCACACAGTGACATCTTAATAATATGTCGTTTTTGGCTCATTGAGTTTGAATAGGAAGACATCAAATTCAGAAATAAACCTACGTGCATCACCAAAGGGGGACTGCATACTATTTTCTATGGGTTTGGCAGTGACAGCAGTGTATAGTCTTATATCCCAAGGCAATTTATTAACTGAGAATCTCACATTAAACATATACCATCATGGTAGCTGGCTTCCTACCAGTACAAACATGAGACAGGGCAGACTGCTCCTCTGCCACCATTTCTAGCAAGGAACAAACGGAGATCATCTGGTACCATGTTAGCACAGGGAGAGCAATTCACCACCAGAAACAGGAATACAACTGGCTCAAATCTTAGTTCAACAACAGCCTGTTGATTCTCTTGGCACGATTTATAATTTAGACACTGCAAAGGAAACAAACACCTCCCTTTCCTCTTCACCTGATGGTAGGATATGAACACTTCCGGGTGCTTGAGGTACACAGGGGTCAACCTGCACATCTGCATCCACCTGCACACCTGTATCCCTATCCTTAAGCTTCCTAAGACTGCTATTGCAGAAACCGCAGAGATCAAATCTGTCTAAACTACATCTAGAGGCATGACTGATATCCAGCTATCCTCTGTGTGCTGTAGTGGAGGGCCTGGTTTCACCTTCAATCACCCACTCTGTAGCCACGGAGAGTGCATGCTGAGGACTGCCATCTCTTATCAGCCTTCTCATCCACAGGCCAATTCTCAGGCCAAGACCAGGCCCTACAGACCTCATAGGCCCTCTAGCAGACCCCCCTTCTGTCCCAGTATGGTCGTGCAGAGGATGCCAGGCCCTCTTCTCCCCACCTCTCTCCTCCAGGATCAGGGCAGAAGAGGTGCCACCTTATTCAGAGGTGAGGGATGGGAAAGGACAGCTGATACAACCCTAGAAACTCAACAGTTTTTAACGACTACATGTCCCTTGTGGTGTATCAGATGCCTGTGGGTATCAGTATGCTCTGCCCCCTCTGCTGCTGCAGGCTGCTCAAGAACCCCCTGCCCTGACCCTCTTGGTACGTTCCAGGCAGCTGCAGGGTGGTTGAGAACCCCCAGTACTGCCCCCCCCCTCCCCCCAACTCTCTTGGTACATTCTTGCAACCATCTCCCAACTGCCGTGTTTTGGTTTCCACGGGACACTCAGAACCTCTGAGAGGAGACAGCGAGAGGTGCTTGCACACCAGAAAGTTTCTCCTGTCTGAGATGGAGCAACCACCACTTAAGAAGAGGCGGCTGATGGGCAATGTCATCGAGCCCATGGAGGTGGACCCGCCTGGCAGTGACACGGAGCCAATGGAGGTGGATCCGCCTCCGGAGGATGACATGATGGAGGTGGATCCACCTCTGCTGCTGCAGACCGGCCACCACCCCGCCACTGCCAGGCCGATCGGAAAGAGGTCGCGCCCCAGGGATCGCCGGGGCGCCAGGATCCGTCCACCTCCATCCAAACGGCCGCCTCGACGCCGGTGCTGATGCTCCCATCCCGTAAGTTTGCCCTCATCCCGGAGAGCCCCAGCTCAGGGCCACCCTGTGGGTTACACAGAGCCTCCATTTCCTGGTCGTTCTTCTTTTCACAGCCGAGGCTCCTATGAGTCAATCCTTCCCATCCCCCTCCCTTGTCCCTTCCCAAGTCCTCTCATCTCTTCTTCACTGAATCCTGAGGAAGAGAGCAGGGCGGGGACTGCCATCCTCTGAGCTGCTGTGCTGGGGCAGGGGAACGAGTCCAGCAGAGGGACCATAACTACTGGGGGCCTCAAACATCACACAGGCACGAGTAAGTTTACCGTTAGCTGGGAGGGAGGGCCCCAACTCAGGGCCACCCCATGGGCTCACATGGAGCCTCCATTTCCTGGTAATTCATCTTTTCACAGCCAAGGCCTCCATGAGCTCATCCTTCCTGTCCCACTCCCTCATCCCTCCCCAGGATGGGAGGAGGAGCCAGAAGTGACAGAGGCAGCTGCTGGTGTGGAGAAACAGACTTTGTTTTGGACTGGAAGAAGTCCTGAGCTTCAGCAGGAAGATTCAGCCCAGATGTTTCACTTGGATTTTTTTCTTCAAGAATCAACAGTTAATCAACAATCAATTTAAAAACAGAAATACAAAATAATAAAAAAGTCAAAAACACAAAATAAACAAATTTTCTTTTTTAAAAAGAAAAATAATAGCTGTCTGTCTTTTTATTTATTTATTTATTTATTTTTGGAATTTTAGAGTTTGTATGCAGATTCCCATGCCCCCTTCTTTTTCCCCCCATATAGGAATGCACACTGGAGCAAGACATGCTGCCCTCATTTCCAGCCCCAGGAACCAGAACTGCACAGACCATGGGTGTCCCTTTGCCCTGTCTGATCACCCTCTGCTATGTGGAGGGGATAGTTTACATACACATCATCAAGAAAAGAGTAAAGAACCCACTTTGACTGTAGAAAAGATAATCTGACAGAATCATACAGATCACATCACAACTTAGCTTTCCTGACAAACAAAACCTATAAATAGCTGGCAGTGTTACTACTTTATTAGCTGTAAAAGAGCAAAATCAAAGGATGTTTATAGAGAAAAATCAGCTAACAGCTGTATAAGGAATCAAGTTTTTAATTCTGCAGCAGGATACATATCTCTGAAGAAATGTTTCAAATGGCTGTTTTATTTTCCTTTAACTCATACATTCATCCAGAATGAAATTGGTAACCTATTTCCTTCACCTATTTTGGTTAAAAATTAAGCCAAAACACTAATATGTGAAAGAATACATTTTAAATGGGAAACATTTTGCAAAGAAAAAGAAAAAAAAAAAAGAGGGAGAGAGGAAAAAAGAGAGAGAAAGAGAAAAAAGAGTGGAAAAGAGGAAAAAAGAGAGCAAAAGAGGAAATGAAAAGCCTGGAGAAGGCTCCAGGAAGACCTCATTGCTGACTTCCAGTACTTAAAGGGAGCTTATAAAGAGGAGGGAAATCAACTTTTTTACAAGGGTAGATAGTCATAGGACAAGGAGGAATGACTTTAAACAAAAAGAGGGGATATTAGGTTAGATGTCAGGGGGAAACTGTTCAGTGGGAGGATAGTGAGGTGCTGGAACAGGCTGCTCAGAGGAGCTGTGGATGTCCCATCACTGGAGGCATTCCAGGCCCTGGGTGACCTGATCTAGTGCCTGATTTAGTGGTTGGCAACCCTGCCCACAAGCAGGGGGTTGGAACTGGATGATCTCTGAGGTCCCATCCAACCCAAGCCATTCTATGATTCTGTAATTTTTCCCTAAATTACGTGGCTATCTAACTACTTTTTGGCAATTAAAGCTGTTGTGGCTCTGCTGTAAGTGTCTTGGATTTTCAGGAAAGGCTGGCACTCACAGAGGCTTTTCTGTGTAAAAGCTGAGGTAGGATTTTTGAGGACATACTTGAAGGAAGTGAAAATGAAATGGGAATGATGTATTTAACTGTAAGCATCTGTGAACGTAAAGGCCCTGGGGGTGTGTCTTCTACTTGTGGGCTGTCAACAAGTTAAAAATAGGTAGCTGAGTACCTGGGGTATGCTCTGCCTCCAACCCTGTTTGGAGGCTTGTTAACATACACCTATCAACCTGAGTGACAACTGTACAACTCAGGATCTGGTGCAGGGATTTCAAAGGCAGTGTCTTGTGCTAACACATTAGTCATTAAATGTCAATTCTTTAGATACTTGCTCAAAACATGAAGGAAATAGAGCATGCCAATTACCTCAGCTGAGAGATACAAATAAACTTACCTTAAGTTGACCTATTTCTTTGAACTTGTAAACTTCAAATTCCCAGAGTTCTGTGTTTTTGCCAAGAATTTTCTGGCACTTTCTAGGAAAAAAATAAAAGGGGAGAGAACAAAAGTTCATACACAGAATAACACAAATGTGACAGCATTACTGCAAGGATTTATTTTCCCTACCAGACTCTTCCAAATTTCACTAATTTTGGTGAGCAACTGCTTCAAGCAATTTCATCACTCATTTCATCATTCAAAAGAACTTGACAGCTTACTATGCATTCATCCTTACTGATTAGGGTTGTATTAGAGATTTAAAAATTTCACTCACAAAGTAAAATTAAGCACTTAAAGATATACATACACATAAGTACATATTAAAATACAAATCTTAGGCCATTTCTTATCTTTTAGGTAATCAAATCTGTCTTTTTGGTTACACCCACTGAACCACAAATTATCTTCTGATGGCCTCACATGCAACTGACACACTAATAAGATTATCAACATCTAAAGGAAACCTCAATGTTGAAAATTTAGTGTAATTTTGAAAAAATCACAGGTTACTTTCTCAAAAATATGTCTCAATTTCAATTAAACTTAAGAAAGATTCCAATAACTTTCAGGTCCCTACAGGCAAGAAAACAAAGGACACAGTAATACGTCTGTATGTTTTGAAACTTCAGAAACTCCAGAACACACAGAAAACAACAGCACAAAATACTTCAGAATCAGTAATTGCTCTCACTGTTTCTCACAGACACACTCCAGCCAGCAAAGAAAGTCTTTAATATGTTACCGAGCAGCCAGGTCATGCTCTCCTTTCTCCACTAGGTGATTTATATAGGCTAAGCCTATGTCCTAAAGGAAATAAAAATAAGTAATTAGTTATAAAAGTTTGGAAGTCAAGTACTTTACTGTTACAGTAAGTACTGCTTCAGCTATGTCACTATGTCAAGCACCAGGCCCTACCTGGAAACTCTCAGTTCTACTTTAGATGTAGGACAGAACAGTCAATACGAAATATTAGCCTAGATACCCCAAGAACTCAAATTAAGATGCTCTTTTACATCATTATCATAATCTTGTTGACACTAGGAAGACTGTACCACCTCTATATGCTAAAGATTGTTCAAAACACACAGCTGAGCATTCAGTGCTTGCATTAGTTACCTCAAAAATAAGACCATCAACCACTGTATGAAAAATCTTCTCTACCAATATGAAGTTTGCAACAGACAAAAATCTTGGCTGAGAATATAAGCCCCGGGGATGCTTCATAAAGTAAAGGAATTATCAATAATTTTTTAGGAGTATGAAATATAATTGCACATTAAATTCAACTTCTCAAGAGTTTGTCAGACATTTCAGCTGCAAAATAATTTGGTAGGCATGTAATACTAGAATTCTGTCAAACTGCTTGCCTTCTGTTGTAACTTCAATGCTACCATTAAGGTCAGTATAGACTAGTGTACCCACTGCATAACTTAAGAGTCCTATCACTCAAAACACTTTGTTTCAAACTGCAAAGAGGGTTATAAAATAAGAAGGTGCAGAGAGGTGGTGATTATAATTGCAGCCTAAAAACAACCCAAGACAACCACAACACCTGTCAGGTGGTACAAGTGGGATGCCATTGGTCTGACCGCTGACAGGCAGTGAGAGCATGAATAGTTTTAAATCCCTGTACCTCTAAGTCTTCACTTAAGGCTTGATATCAACTTTTATTTTTTTCCATTAATGGCTTTTGCAGGTTTTACAACAACGCTCAACAACTATCCTTGTATATGCCCACAGTGAATTTCATTCTAGGGGAGGAAATTCTTGCAAATCAAGAGAAAAGCATACTTTTTTTTTCTAATATATTGTCAAGTTGACTCTTAAGAAATCTCTGTATCTTTTGCAAGGGTCACAAAGCAGCTAAATCATGCAAACTCTCGACAGGTAATCCATCAGGTCCATTAGGTCTTGGCTCAACTTCTGGACAGCATAAGAAGAAAAGAATTTATAAGATGTATGGATACTCAGTGTTCAAATTATAGAAATGTTACACAATCTACGTCCCACCTTTTTATTTGGTCTTTAACACCAATACTCTTTGTTGCTCTTGGAAGGAACTATACAGGTGGGAAATAACTATACAAGAGAAAAGGAGCTTAGCTATCTGAAATAATGAGAATTGCAAAGCAACATGAGAGCTAGATGTGAAACTGCAACAGAATTTCAGCAGCATTTAAAAGGTCGTCCAATTGCACCTTGGAAACTTCTGCCAAAACCCTGTCACACACACAGGGTAAAAGTTAGAGAAATGTGTCACTCCATGCTCTATCTCTAATATTGCAATAACGTGTGTTTCTTGAACCACAGTAAATTTACCACAAAAGTAGAAGCAAACAAAAACCCTATCAGCAGTCAGAGAAGTGAAATTCTTTTTAATGTCAATAGCACCTTTATAAAATCCGCATCCTTTCATGTTTCATGCGCTAACATCCCTGTTCTGCAGCTGAAACCAGGAAATCGAATGCTAGTCAGAGTATGCCTAACAGCTATTGTCTGGTGCTACACAGAACAGGGAAATGTATTTGTAGCACCTCATCGTGCTCTAAAGGAAATCAGATATTTTGTTTTGAATAGAAGTTTTCAGACTTACCAAAATCTTGTGCTTTTTTATGGTTTTCTGACTGATCTCAGCTGCCATCAAAGCCTCCTATATTCAAAAAGTAGAAAACAGAGATACTAGCCACATATACAAACTTTCAATATAGAAAGCTCTAGAACTGCATAAATCAACTTTTTTTTTTTTTTTCTTTTTCAGAGCAGGGTGTTTGAAGCAGTAGAATTTTTAATGCCATGGTTGAATGAGCAGCTTTGAATTCATACCCAAACAAAAGCAGTCAACCAAAGAGAAAACTACTTTTGTTTCCATCTGGGTTCACTCCACATTACTGTATTAGGATCAGATCTCAAGATTACAAGAAGAAAGACAATGCAATCCCATTGGATCATTTTCAAATGAGAACTCTTCCCTACCAAAACGTGAAAAAAACCATCAGTATGGCAGTGGGGGAGGGGTATACTGCTCCCTACCCCAAAAGCCTTCTCCAGTCAGTATGATTTATATTTAAGCATCATTTTTGCTTCCTTCCTCTACTTCAAATGCACAGAAACAAAGCTGGCACTTGTACAAACAAAACGAAACCTCTAACGTACATTCTAACACTCATGCTATCTACTACCTTGAATAGCTTTCACAAAGGCACATGCACAGCTGTCATTTGCAAATTGCTGGAGTCTTCAGGGACCAGATGCTGTGATTTACATAAACAGCAAAACTGCACTCATCATATGAGTTTGTTCTTCAGATGCAAAAGCATCTGCAAAGATTCAAACAAACCTGCATGACAAGTACCATGACTGCATTAACAAAAGGTGTGAGTGCTGAGTGGCACTTCTTTTTCTTATAACGGGCATCCAACAAGCAGCATATAAACAAGCATCTGTGTGTTCTTAATCACTAGCTGCAGGAAATCAGAATCTAGAACAGTGAGACAGTCTTTAAGGATTTAATATTGATTTAGATGTTGAGATACACATGCTCGAAACTGCCAATATTTACAAAACAATCTAAGAAAGATCCAGGAAAGTGTCCACACAGATCAGTAGTTAACTGTTCTGCTGATTTAGAGCCAAGAAACAGCTTTAATAATTTTTAGTGACAGCAAACACATTTTATATCTGATGCTGATGGCAGTATTTGCAGTGTTTAGTTCATCTATCTAATTTGAGTGTCATTTAGATGAGTTGCTCCACTAAAAGTCTAGCTCTCCAGAGACATGACGCAGAGATGCATGGTCAGCACCTGCCCTCACAGTGATTTAGATAATGACTTGAGGAACAGAAACTATTCAGTTCAAGTGATCTAGCTAAGTTCACTGTACCACCACAACTTCAAAATCGGAAAAGTCTGAAGGAAAGAATGTTGTAAAAATTACTTCGTATTTCTTCTTCTCAAGAAGCCAGTCAATGTGGTCATCCTGGTCCCGTTCTTTAGCTACAACCACGTCTCTTGGGCTGATGATATAAAACAGTGATTCACCTTCCGAATACTCTGCAAGTGCATACACAATTTTATTATTATTATATTTTCCTTAAGTAAAGCTTTTTAGTACACCCTAGAGGGGAATTTAAAGAGGAAATGCAAGGAAGGAAGCAAGGCTATTCCTGCAGAACATGCTTGTTCAGAAAGCTATATTCTCCAATGAATTAAAACTGGCTTAAATGGTAAAATAGCTTTCCAAAAAAAAAAAAAAAAAAAATCACTACAGCTTATTGCAAATTCTGATTCATTCACTATGTGTAAACTTTATGACGGTTTAGAACACATTATTGTACTTTTAGAGGACTATTACACTCCATAGCCTGCAATAAACTTATCCTCCCCATCAAGGTCAAGGCCATCAAAAGCATAAATGACGGATGCCATAACCTCTGGGGACACAGCACATCATTACAGCAATGCATTTGCAACGCTATAAGTTAAGGTTATATGTATAATGCATTTGCCTATACCATAAGCCTTTATTTTTGAGTATACTTAAAGTAAAAATGTACTTAAAGGTAAAATCAAGCAGAGAAGATGACTACTCAGAATAATTACTATTTGCAGAGAACCCATGAAGAATCACTACCAATATTTAGTGGGTATGGGGAAAAAAGAGCATTCCCCATCCCATATCTGGAATATCTGGGATATCACATATCACTCCTGAGCCTATAAGCAATCCACAAAATACTGCTTGCTTTAAAGCCATCCAAAATTTTTAGACTTGTCAGGTTAAGCAGAATATTTATTAAGCATAATAGTACAACTGTGGCCATCAGTGTTCTGCTTAGGGACAGGTATAAAGCAATCACAATTCCACTGATAGCTGCAGAGATGTTTTGGAGATCAGGAGGAGATATAGTTTATTTCTTTCTAGTGGCTTAAGGGCATTGATGAACACAAAGAGGCCTGCCAAGCCTATGATTTGAAACATGCTGCCAGGGAAGGTGTTTAAAAATCAGATTCATGGATTTTAAAAGCCAGAAGGAATGTTTCTGTTTAACGCTCCGTATATAATCTTCACCAAGGAATTCTGCATCAGCTTTGCCATGCATCTTCTTGAATTACAACATGTATATCAGAAAATCCCACCATCTTATTTAAAAGACTGGTATATACTACACTAGAGTTTTTTCTCCCTGCCTGTTACATAATTAAATCCATCTTCAAGGCTGAAGTTGTCAAACTCCAGTTCCTACTCATTTCAACACTCCGAGGTCTGTTAAATGCTGACAGCTTTGCCAGTACTGGGAAGCTAAGTAGTAATGTGCCCCTTTTAATCTGATCCAGGGGCATCTTACTGTTGAAATGACATCTGTTCCATCTTTGGCTCTAAACAACTTTTCCAGACACTGTATCATTCATTCATCACTACTCCCGAAGCCCTTCTACCTAAAGATTCACAAGAGCTTCATGTACAGATCTCTATCAGAGATACTTTTCCCCAAGATACTGGGCATTACGCGAGATCAAGACTTATCCATTTCCCAGCAAATCTGACTTACAAATGGCATTGCAAATCACAATGTTTAATTATGTCCCTCTTTGTAAGCAAAGCATATTTGTGTGTTTTCATCTGACTGCTTCTTACATTTCAGCGTCACATGGATTAACAGAGATGAGAAAAATTAAGAAGGCTCTGAGCACTTCCAAATTAAATAATTTTTAATCCAATTAAGAAAACAAAACAAAACAATACTAAGAACACCCACCTAAATGATAGTCTCTACATTCATTCTCCTGAAATCCTCGTACTGTTAGTGCATCAGAAGAGATCTCTTCACAAGACTCAGGCAGAGGTTGTACGATGTCCAGTCTGGGCCTGGCACAACACTCCACCTCCTAGAAAAATGAAGACATCTTAGCTGCATCCTGCACGGCTTCCTCAGCAGTATCAGCTGATGGTCACCTGCAGGTAAAGTCGATACCAACAACTACAGCACCGGATACAGTACCAGAATTCACTTTGCAATGGGTATTCAGCTATGAACCACACAGGGAAGGAGATGCAGAGATGACACAGGCCTAACCTCATTGGGAATTTGGTCATTATTTTTCTGCTCTTCTTTTTCACAGAAGTTTTCAGAGCTAGAACAGATGATGATCAATCACTGCATCCAAAAAGTAATGCAAGTTTCAGACACATTCTCAGCTGGGCTTAGGCCCCAGAGGACAAAGTTCTACAAATCAATGTTATTCTGGTACCAAGATCAACTTCTTTTAAGCTGGTGTTTAAGTCTGTGCTTCTAAGCATCCAGCAGCATTAGAAGTAAAATTAAATTAAGAGTAATCTAAACCTTTACTGTGCTGGTGCTCTTCAGAAAGGTGAACTTAGGCAGTGAAATGCAGATGTTTATTGTAAGATGACATCATGGAGAAAACACTGGCTCAACTAGCTTATTTTAATTAAGTCAAAGCCCAAGACAAAGCATTATTTTATATTTCAGAGCATCAATTTTAACAAAATACAGAATGAAAGAACATCGTGACGTAAGAAGTAGATTTTCACATCTCCAACCAACGTAGTCAGTAGCAGAACCACTCAAGTCTTTTCCTGATCTAACTGTTCCAGCAGAAGTGAAAAATGAAGCACAGCCATGAGTTCAATTCCAATGCAATTTGTAACAAGTAAGAAGTTGTCATCTGAAAGCTGTGAAATGAAGCATAGGAAGAACATGTTCTTCACCACCCAACAGCATCTGCAGTGAGCTGTGAGTTCAGGCAGAGGGGCCCTGAGATGCTGGCAGAGGGCTCCCACCAGGCCAGAGCACAGCCACAGCACCAGGATGGGAGTCCTTCTGTTTCCTTCCCAGAGAACCCAGAGAACTGGGAGGCTATGAATGTCCAGCTTGCAGAGATTTTATTGTCTGTTTACATAGAAGGGTAATTAAAAGCAAATACAAGTGAAATCTCTTTCTTGTGTTTTATTACAATTGGACTACCTGATTTTTTTTTCATTTTTCTTCCCTGCAGCAGCCAGAATGAGTTTCATCTCAGTTTCTACCTGCATCCATAGCTTTCTTCTTCATTAACGATGGCTTCCTAATTTCCTTGCTCCCTTGAATTCCAATTCACCTTTCCCTCCCCCTTTCCATCCAATTTGCTTGCCGTCTTTTCTTTCACCTACTCTCACACACTGGAGGACTACCACACCGGCTCTCTTGGGAACCAATGCTGTGACATTATTTTTCTCCTCCATATAAATAAAGAAATAATAATCTGACATCCTGCAGCAAAGCTGGAAGCTAACCCTATTGATTTCAGCCAGCTCGAGCATTCATTTGAACCTACAGTGTTGCATTGCCTAGCAACTTGTGCACCCAGTTGCTTAAGGTTTCTATGGTGATGCTTGGCTAATGCAGGCCTACTATCAAAGAGATGATCAAGAGCATCTGCCACTCGCACACTGCAACTTCAAGGATTTCCTCCACTACCTTGCCTTTTATTTGGCAATATGAAATAAATGCTGGAGACAGACACCATACGCGCCTGCTCGCAGTAGAAGTGGCTGACATGAATTCTGATTTCTAACTATCTACACACATACCTTGGTGCACACAACCAAGGTCTGAGGAATGACAATGCCATGCACTTGCAATAATGCATCCCACCCCTGCTACAGTGACCAATCAACTTCACTAATCTCTTTTCTTCTCAGATGTAGGTTCGGCACGGCGCTCCTCTAGTTAGAGAGATCCTTCATTTCTTCTGGTGCAGAAATAGCCAAAATAATGAGAGAAATGGAGAGAAACAGTAAGAGGTAGGAAGGAAGAAATAAGAGAAAGACTACCTAGAGACCTTCTCTGCTTCCTGCAGGAAACAAAGGACAGAGCTTTTAAAAGGTAAATTCATTAGTGTTCAGCATTATCCTTGCTGCCCTTATTTGCTAGGTCAGAGAAGTCTCAGGCTCTGCTCACTACAAGCTGGTTGCAACTCTTTCACAGGTAATCAGATCTGCCTGACTAGTTTAAGTAAGTTCTAACTCCCAGGAGAGTTCAGTGATGTGGTGAAATCGTAACAGAAAAATAATTACCGTCTTTTCAGAGATCTCCTTTACGTATGAAAGTATAACAAGTTGGTCACAGAGAGGTGCAAGCCCACTGATATAGAACTCTGTATCAAACTGGAACACTGAAACACAGAAACAGAAACAGATTATTAAGTAAATAAATGTATGAACTGCTTCCTAAGAAAAACACACAGCTTATTTTAAGGGGGCAACCAACAACACAGAGTATCAGTTCAGAGAAAAGTAGACTCAATACATATAGCAAACCTACAGACTTCCCAGTTGGATCAGCAAGATGATGAAAAATTACATTTAACAGATTCAATTCCATTAAGACTTGCAAGAAGAAATGTTTGTGCTCCAGGACATGCTAGAGATGAAACATTTGAAATGAATGGTCAGCTAGACTTCCAGTAATCACACTGGAGAGGGGGAAAAAAAAAAAAAAAAGGAAAAAAGCCAAGCTCAGTAAAATAGGTAGTGTACAAAAGATCTCTGTAGGTTTGCATATTTGCAGAAAGTCGTGTAACCTTAAGAGAATCACACCTGATACATCTGTTGGTATGATATATGAAAACACAAAGGTCATTATTAATTTATTATCACAAGAAGATGTACAGATACACTCATCACTAAGAAAAGATACAGTTAAATAGTGGCCTTTCTTGTTCTTGAAACTGAAAATATAATTTCCTAAACTGTCTTGCTTTTAAGACCAATTTAAGTGTTGACTATTGACTATTTTGAGGAATAAAAAAAAAAGAGAGCTGAAAAGTAGTTATAAAAGGGCTTGTTGTAGCTGGCCTCTTAGCAGAAAGAATTATTTAGCTTTTTACTCCTGGGTTTACAGCACTGGCATTAAACATCTGCAGATCTTAGTGTTTGTACTAGCAAACTAATTTTTGTTAAACAGAGTATATTAGATCCATCATAATTTTCTCTCAAGACAGTTTCAGGAAAATATAAGTAGAAAATAAATGTTTCCTTCTTTCCAGTCAGCAAGCTACACTACCACTATCTTCTGTTCACTGAAATAGGTAATTATTTCAGTAAAGCAAATAGAAAATGCAGCATAAATATAATTTTCTTTAGCCAAGGCAATACGAAGAAACAGGATAAATAATTGTCCTCCCGATAAAGGAGGAAAAAAAAATACTGCCAAATAAAATACGTATTTGACATCTGTCTCTCACTGAATAAGCAAATGCTGTTTTCTCTTAATGACGGCTGACACTTTGACATCACTGGGAGGCCAAAGCATGGCACAAGGGTAAAACAATCTATTCTAGCAGAGAACAGGTTCACACGGGTAATCCTGTATGTCATTATTTTGTTCTATACTGCAAGACTGATGAGATTACTTGGATTGTGTCATACATTGCTCTGAGCGATGACTTTAAAAACAACCATGTTAATAATGTCTACATAATAAATCTTTTTCCCAGTTTACAATTTAGTATTTGGCATTTGAGGAGAATGTGGAAGATAGGAGCAAGTACATGGAAAAGAAAAAAGTAACATCTAGAGCACAGGGTAGAAGGACAGCAAAGAAACTTTTGTTGACAGCTTAAAAAGTGACAAGCGAAGGCTCTCGGAGGCATATAAAATACTGTCATATGAATTTGGAAAGGACAACAGAGTGATGAATGGTATCTTTATAAAGATTATGGGGACAGTTTTGAAAAATCACATGTGTTTGGCCTGCACTGGGGCTTCATTTTCCTTAGTGAGGCACTCCTAAAGTTGTTCGTAACACCCACAGAATCTATTTTGGATAAGGCATTGAGAAAAGATATAAAAGGAAACCACTTGGAGATTTGTTTCTAAATAGAGTTCAGCTTCCTCGGTTTCACTTCCAGCCTTCTCTCAGCTCTTCTTCCTCAAGATACCTTGTGGAAACACAATGCTGCAGCACAGCTGTGACAGCCCTGAACAAAGGCTGCCTGGCACAGGCCGCGCTCCGTGACCTGACAGAAACCTTTGATACAGCTCTCAGGAAAAGTTTTACTGAAGAACTGCAACAGTTATTAAGAGCTTAATCTGAATTACTCTGGACAGTTTGCCGTGGTCAAGGGGAAAAACATCCTACAAGGAGGTATTCCAGAAGTGCTGTTAATTTGAAGAGGATCCAAAACAATTAAAGCCAACACAGCACCGAAGTAAATGGGAATGATCATCGTATGACCGCGTGTCGTACATGTTTATGCCTATCATACAAGCGGATGGAAGATATGTTGACAGTGCATCTACTTTATGCTCATCATCCACGTACAGCTGTCAGACAAATTACCAAGGAAGCAGAGATGAAACCTGTAAATCATCTTGTTCATTAAGCGAAATATACGAAATATATCACGCCACAGAAATAAAACAACATATGTTACGTTATTTATCCAAACTCTATAAAAACAACTTTCCCACAGGCAGTGCACTGAATTTTTATTTTTATTTATTCCCACACAGTGATAACACTGTGTTGACATCAATTTCAATGAGGCCAAGATTTTGACATCATTACTTTTGGGAAAGTGGGCAGGAAGGTGCAGAGAATGAACATGAAACTTAATATCTAGATGAAAAGAAGCCTTTTTGTTGATACTTTTTGGTTTTTAATTCCATATGGTGTACAAAAGAAATGGAGAAGCACTCAGGGTTGTTTATAGTTAACTCATTCATATATCAACAGCAGGAGAGCCATAAAGCAAGGTGACCCTGGCCAGCCCAGAGAATTCTGCTGCACTGCTAGCTGCTGGGGTGATGTCTCTACCTTTTCACTATCTATGTAAGGAACACCTACAAAATCTGCAGAATAGCATCCCCTGAAGTGTTCCCAAGATGGCATCTCCAGTACCAGTGCTTTGCTAAGTTAATTATGTAAAACAAAATGCTGTAGAAAACAGTGTGCTTTGATTAGCTATTAACAGGTTCAGGAAGTTGCATTTGATATAAAATGTACTTTTTGCCCCATATGTGCTTTCAGTTCCAGCTACAGGACCACAAAAGGCTTTTGTTCTACATAAGTACTGCTTAAAGTGTCTTGAAATGGATATAAGCAAATCACAAAGCACACACACACATATAAATAGTTTACTTTAAAAGAAGTTGAACAATACTTTCAAATGTACCATCCAGCATAAGCCTTGAAGAAAATATAAATCTCAATTTTTCTAACATTGACATTGAAAATCTTTATATACAACACCTGCCTCAGCATTTAAGTATTTTCATACTTACAAATTGTTCCTATCTCCCACTAAACTCCACAAAGGTGTTCATAAATTCAAATTCCCAGGACAGACCTGCTTCTGACTAGGAATCTGAGCAGGAAGCTCAAGATGTGCTCAGTTAAAGAAATGTCAACTGCAACACTGAAGGAACTGGAAATTTCTGAGGAGGACCACTGAAGTAAGTAAGCCACTTGAGCATAATTTATCTGTGCTTGAGGATCCTTACAATTCTTTGCAGTTCTCTCCTTAATACTATACATGAAAATTAAGCAAACTATTTACTTAGTCATGTACATGTTGTGATAGCATTTTTACAGACTACCCGTTTCCTTCAATTTCAGTAGGAAGCACAGTAAGGTAAGGCTCAAATAGGTCCCTACACAGTACTGATTAGGAAAACAGAATTTATTTCATGCTTCTAAAATCAGAATTCATAACCTCCATATTCACTTACAAAGAAAATGGTTGGAAAAGTCATCTTCAAATTTATTTTTGTTTGAATGCTGGAAGTTTAGAAAGGCTTTAAGAGAGTATTTAACAATGATCAGTCAATCATTCTTAATATAACCTCAAATGCCACACAGCAGATGATGAGCATTTTCAATGAAATAAAGTAGAGGAATGTTAATAATACTGCTAATTCAACATGATCGCAGGAAAAAAAATAAAAGCTTAAAATCAGTCAAAACTCTGTAAAGCTTCTATGCTCTAAAGCTTTTGCCTTGCTTGCTACCAGCACAGAATGGAAATAAACAAGAATTTTGCTACTAAGAGTAATTTCTCTCAATTATAAGAATACACTCATCAGAAACATCAGGAAAAAAAAAAAAACAAAACAACTGCTTATTCATTCCAGCAAACATCTTCCTGGTGCATTCTACTCTTTCTATTAAATTAGGACTTGTTTTGTGTACAGTAAACATTGTCACAACCTACTGCCTTACTTGCAGTCGTGCTTTGTGAAATGAAGTGCTACAGTGGCACTAAAATCCTCTTCCTCCTATTCTCTCCCATACTTCAAGAAAATCATCTTTAAAAATAAGACAACTGTCTGTACAGTTCTCTGGATATAGACACACACAGCCCTTAAGCAAATCATCAGGAGTTTTAAATTTTAAAGCTTCCAAGCTGATTTTCTATAAAATTCCCTCAAATCTGATCAACCGACAGGGCAAATATTCAGTAGATAGTTGATAGTGTGGGTTAATTTTTGTTAAGGAATTTCTGAACGATTAAATTGTCTTGTGACAGAACATGGTGAGCAAAAGTCTGAGGGGAATCAGGTACACAGGTGGGGATTTTTCTTTCTTTTTCTTTTTTTGGCTATTTCCTTTTCCTAAAGTAGACAGATTCGCTGCAATTAAGTAGTTGCATAATTTAGCATAAAGGTGATCACATTTTTTCACTTTTAGTTTACTGCTCATTATATTTATTAGGAAGCTTTAAGTTCTCTTTATATAAAGAAAAATATGCTGCTACAACAGATCACATTATCTCACTTTATAAAAGCAAAAAATAAATAGTCCCACATTTTCTTTCAGCTAAAAATATGATGCTCTCAGTATTCAGTGACAACTTTCTACGTGGAGATACAGCTATTCCTCTTCGAAACACAAGGATGTGTTGTTACATCATATCCACATGCAATTCTTATGCCAGAAGTCTGCTTTGTGGGGAAAGTGGGGGAATGCCCAGGGGAAACAAATGCTGGAGGCATTGCTGGCAGGCTGGCACCTGGAATTAAGCTGAGATTCCTCAACTAAAATCTAGGCTAAAATGAATAGAATGGGAAGTCTCTAATCAACTTCCAGTCTTTTACTGACTTTCATGTTAAATACTTCATAAGCTACCTGACCAGACCAGTCGAAGATTATTTCCCACTATCACCCAGTTTCACTTTGCAAAGGCACTGCATTAAGTGCAAAGTGCTAATTAGTTCCTTAGTAAGCAGCCTACCAGCAGACCACAGTTGAGGAAGGGCTGCCTGTTGAGAAGCTGTCTAGCATTACAGCTTTTGTACACGTATCAGAAGTGAGCACAGGGGTCAAGCACTCTTTAAGAAGAATCACAATGGCATTTAGTCCATGTTAAGCCTGTAATTCAATACCAATACTTTCTAATCAATACACTACTTCACTGTGGTAGCAGGCAGCTATAAACTGATAGCATCTGCACAGCTAACATACATTTAAACCTAAATAGAAACATTTTGCTTGAGTTTATCTCTGACAGTGAATGAAGTCTCACGTACGCAACGAAGCGTGACATGTAACCACAAACAGGAATGATTAACAAAGAAAAGCACCATTAATATACTGGAAGATGTAAATAAAATTAAGTGATGCCATGCAGACCTTACTGCATGAGAACAATATACTCTGTGTTACTTCTCCTGCATGTAGCCACAGCATTATCTTCTCTGAAATACAACAGCCAAAACAGTTCAGTGGTGTTACCTTCCTACAAAACAGACCACCTGGTTTAGGATCAGGGTAGATACCATATTTATTTCCTTCCACACCTCGAGCATGGCTGTGCATCAAGGTAAAATCCTTCTTACACAGGATCCTATATACCTAACTTACAAAGCAGGAAATGGCTTGTTTCCTGGGCTCCAAGCCACTGGAAAAACATCTACTGTCTACTGATGCCACCATAGTTTGCTATGATATTGTAAAACTTCGAGGCCCTCCGAATGGCTCTAAAAAACATAGATCTGAAACTGCTGAGATATGGATCCTATGACAATACAGTGTTTTCTCACGTGTATTATCCCAATGAGATGATGCCATAAAAGCTATAAGCCAAAAGAATATCTCAAAGATATTAAGCTATCACTGGGCTATATTCTTGTCTTGTGTAAATTCTTTACATTACAGGAGTATATCAACCAATGCATCCATTTCGAATATGGATTTTCCTGCCAAAAAACATATTGGTTGCTGGTCAGTCTGTCCATTAATAACACCAATTTTCCAGCTATGCACCTGAAAAGTAAAGTTTAAACTACAATTAAATTGAAATAGATGCTATGGCACGATGACACACAACTCTCAAAGAGTTTCTATGTGATTAAATCAAAAGCTACTGTAATTTCTGTTCAGACTTCAACAAATAATTTCACCTTCTTTTCCCTCTCAGTCTAATATCCACATTCCAATGAGTGCTGCTGGCAGCCTTTGGCAGAGCTGTTCCAGTGCTCTGATGTGAAACCAGGAAGAAAAACTTCAAGCACATCATCAACAGGTTAAGTGAGATAAAACAGCAGTCCTCAAGAATACAGAGAAGACTTTATGCTCAAGTTTAAAATGTGAAAAAATTACTTCCACAGAACTCTCTAACCTTCAGATTTGCAGCTAAACAGTTTTATGACAGCCTTTTATTATTTTTAAAATGAAATTCCAATAGACAGGTTAGCTCCCACAACAAAGTCATACTATAAGTGTAGGATATGCTCTTGTTTGCTTGTTACTATTTAAAATCACCCTATTTAATTATTTCCTAAAAGCTACTTAGAAAAGGGACTTACAGGCACAGAATATAAAATATCTAAATCTTTATAAAAGATAGGAAGGTAAAATTCAAGACTGAATTTTTTATTGATATAATTCTCTCAAAAATCCTAGAATCTCATGCTTAATTATTCTTTTGGGGGTATATAATCTTAACCAACAAATAGCATTCAAATATCAGTTTAATAGTCAAGCATGATTTCTCTTAGTATCCAGAATTCCTACAATGTTTAACATCCATTTTCTAGTTGATTCCAAGAAGCTATTTTAAAACTCTTTTTTTTTTCTGACATCATAAAAATGTACACATCTATGGCACGTATCTCCCTGGTCAGTATGCTGACATGAGTCAGGATTTTGTTGGAACGCCCTTGTTTGCAATCTCATCTCATTACAGTCATGACAAGGAAGCACAAAACTCCATAGTTGTCCTCTCTGGACTACAGAGTCCCTGTTTATCTTGTCAGTGTTACCTCTTCATAGACCCTTCCTTATCAAAAGCTTCTTCTGAGAACAGTTGAGCTTTTGTTTACCACTCCCCACCAAACACTGTCAAATTCCATTTGAATTCCCCTTTGTGCTTTACTACATACACGCATGCTGTCAACACCACTTCCATTAATCAGCAACAATGAAATTATTCACATCACCTACAGAAACAGGAAAGCAAAGAGCAAAAAAAGAGAACAAAAAGAAATTCCAAACAATTTTCTAGAGCTATTCCAAACTCAGAATAAGCAGTGTAGTTAAACAATAAATAATTAACTAAGGTAGTGTCTGTTTGTTCCTTATTAGTGTACTGATCATCATTTAAGAAAGACAGAAGGCCAAAATCTCTGTAAAAATCTGCATGAAAGGCAAGTTAGGACATCCACTTTTCCCTCACACGATAGTCTGATCTTAGAAGAGAAGAAGACCTTAGAAGAAGAATTTAAGACTCTCAGATTGCAAAAAACTACGCAGGACATCGTAACAACCTCATCAGGTGAAAGTGAGGAGACATTTATGTTATGACTGCAAGTTGCTTCTGAACTGTAACAACTTTTCCAGGCTCAGTGTCAAAACAGGCCTCTCAAAGCTTATCTAATCCCAAGAAAGCACACACTCATACGACCGTACCTATTTCCACATAGCGGTTTGGAAGGTCGCGCATTTCACTGGCATGCCGCTCCTTCACTGAGCAAATCTAGGAAAGAGATATTTGGATCATTATGATGAACAAACTGTGATTCTTAAAATGATGCTAACTTTTCCCGGAAACTCCTTTTCTCACTGAGGTGTTCTTGAAGATGCACTTCTGGACTTTGGAAAACACAGGCAGTGAAACAGTGATGATGAATCACTGAGGAAGAAAATTCAAAAGGAGATTTCTGATCGTAGCCCTCAGACTTATAAATATGGTGAGAGAGGAGAAGGCAGATGGACCAGCAGAGACATCTGAAAGCATCTTCTCACTATGATTTCTTCATACTAGCATGTGGGAGTTTGATTTTGGTATTTTCTCATGCTTAATGTCTCATTACCTCACTATTTCAGTAAGCATATGCTACTGCAACTCCAAGTAACAGGAGAGTACATACATATAAAGAAATGAAAATACCCAAATGTCAGGAAGCACACACAATACAATGGGAATGTCAGGTGCCAAACTTAGGACAAACTTCTTCATCTGTAAAATTTTAAGCTTAATGCTCCAAAAGCTTTTTATGCTTCACCTACATTACTGTACTTTCCCACCAAGTGCTTTTAATTTCCCACTGTGCAATGATGTAGCAAGCTGTTATAAGAAAACATCTACTAGGCTCTAACAAACTCCTTTCAGGTACTGCTCTGCACAAATCACAGACAGCTTGCAGTACATGAGTTCAAAATGCCAGTTCCCTAGTGAAAGCAAAGCAAAACTCTAAGCAGCCAGCCCTCCATCCCACTTCCTTTTTTTTTTTTTACCCCATGGTTGGCTCAAAATACGTGTCTTCCTTTAGCAATCAAAGTCCTCAGACCCCAAACTAAGTCCCTCCAAAAATAACTCACTGCTAAGTTGTTCTTCCTTAATGCTAATGAAAAGAAATGAATTCAAAAGCCCCTCTGAAAGCCTTCAAAAGAGGAAATCTCTCAAAGGCACAGAGAAGTGTCCCTGAGGATTACACTCACTGCATGCTCACACACAGAAATCTGTCTGACCGCTGGGTGTCTATCACTCCTCCTCCTCATGAGGGTCAGTCCAATGACATTTCTATGGCAGCAGGAGTTCTGCAGACTGTAGTCAAACCAAACTCTATTTTTTTCGATTGTCTTTGCTTTTCAGAAATAATCCTCTGTTTGTCTGTGATAACAGCAAGCATTTATTACAAAGACAGGTAATTGCACCTTTACTGAATTTCCCCAGCCAATAATCAGTGTTAAATTATCCTTCCAGCAAAGGCTACAGGGATACATGTCTGGGCGAAGGCTTATGTCATCCCGAGGCACATTGGTAATTCTTTGCTTGGAGATCATGTCAAGTATCTTCACGCCCTGAAAGTTTAAACAGAAGAGGACTTTATTCAGTATGACAAACTCCTAACCACCAGAGCCCATACTATTTTGCACAGTGTGACAGTCGTAGCAGTTTATATGGCATAAGTTGGAGGGTACAGACGAAAACACCGACACAAAAAGCTGTTGATATAAAGACCAATCTAACCCAGGAGGTAACAGGAGAAACGGTAAGATTAAAATAAACTAACACTTTACATGTCAAATAAAAAGACATAAAGAATGAATGAGGAGCAGATTAGCAGCTCAAGTCATGAACCAGATTGTTTGGGCTGGTGCTATTACTTGAAGAAACAAAAGCATCCCGTGCACTTCCATAACACTCCTCATAGAGAAACCAAAATTTTCATCTCAGAAAAAAAGATGTGAAGCAACAACTCATTAATATAAATGACGTCAATCTGTACTTCTCTAAAAATGCATTTATACTCTTAGGCTGAAAGGGAAAAACAAGCATATTTAAATGATGTTTGGTTTTACACAGTGTGATTTTTCACTGCCTCCTCAGGAAATATCCCAAACTAGCAGAACAAAAAGTTTAAAGAAAGGAAGATTAAAGTCATTTTAGAAGGAGAGAGAGCACTGAAGAGCTATTAATCAGATTTTTCCATACCATTTAGAAAAGGCAAGCTATAACCTTTCCAGTAGCAAAACAGAGATTAATTCACATTAAGTAATAACTTGCTTCTTCGTGATTTAATAGCAAATGTTGGAAAAAAAAAAAAGAAAAAAAAAACAACAAAGCATTTTAGCAGATATTTTCCTTAAGCTCAGTGAACAGAAAAACAAGTCTTGTGATCACAGAAAAGGGGATGGAAGGAACCTTGAAAGGTCAGCATCCAGGATGCCATTCCATGTTAGAATTTTTCTAGTGACAAAACTGATTTAAAAGATTCCCCTGCCTGTTTCTGTTCCCCCTGACTGCGGGTTTCTGTGTCCCCAGCTGTACCAGTTCAAGTGTCTGTAAGCCAAAGAATCTCAATATGAGGGTCATGGCATAAGCCAAGTTTTGTCTTCCTAACCCTCACCTCCTCTTTTTGTTTGTTCAAATTTAAATTGCAAGAAGCAATAAGTGGTATAGAAGGGAACAGAAATACTCCTACTGGCATCTCTTAGGCTAAAAGTCATCAAACATTAAAATTTTTAAAGAACCCCAACCCAGAAAACAACGACAAAAGCCAACCAATAAACAAAACACACATAAACAAAACAATAACAAAAGCTACATAACAATTTCTGTATTGCATTTACATAGGCCAAATCTCTGGGTAATATACAGAAGGATCTCATTCTTTGTGTTTTCTAAGCTTGTTTTATAAAATCTGCAACCTTGCTTGAACTGTTTTTTAATAAATCTGCCTTTAATTAATCTCAGCACTTTGTCTTCCAGGATTATTTTCAAATAAGTGACCCATATCACATCTGTTTTTCTACAAGGCAAGTAAATCCTACACAGGGTAGAGTAACTTACATTTAAAGTGGCTCTCAAGTCAGCAGGATAGAATCCTCTATAGATAAAGCATGCCACTTGCACTGTCACTGAAAGGACTTCCTGAGTCAATTTCCTATAATAATGGAAACAAATGCCTGTTTCTGGGGGAGTGAGGCATGCTAAGGATTTTGTCCTCAGATGTCTGTCTGTAGAACTTACACTCTTGGTCATGGAGGAAGAGGAGGGCACAGTGGCAGGCATGTTAAGTAAACACTTGAAAACAGAATTAGACCTTGCCAAAATAACCTGAAGCCCATCTCAAAATACCCAATGTCTCACAAGCTCACACGCAGTGTGTAATAAAATTATAATAATAAAAAAAAAACAAAAAGCACAAGAAAATAATAACTGGAGAGAAAGTAAGCAGCAAGGCTATATGTGATTTTCTCTAGGTTGAAAAGGAAAAAAAGGAACAAAAACCATGCTACAGGATGGAGAAAATTTTAAAAAGGTAAAGGGGGAAGGGAAAAGGCCAATAACCAAATATATTAATCTTTTGGAGGGCAAGTGTCATTTCATTTTTCATTGAAAGATAGGCCCTGACCATGGCTTTTTGTCTCTGACAGATGGCTCTCAACATTTTATTAGTATTCTGTGTTCTGATGTGGCACATCATCTCTAGGGATAGCTCTCCTCAACTGTCCTATCTATTCCCTGCAGATTCACCCAGAATATATATTTTAATTGTATGGCTCTGAAAAGAACAAAACCTTTCAGTTATAACCTATCACTATAACAATCAAGCACTTGCTTAAGATGCAGTCACTAAAGGGAAGCAAATAAACAAAAATTCTACTTTTAACAACTTCATACCAAACTGCTTTTTAAAAAGAATAAAAGAACAACAGCTTTAATATATTTTAATAAATGCTTCCTTCAGTAGGGAAAAAAGAAGAAGAAAGAAAATAAACCTTTTCACAAGTACCCACATCACATTTCAAAACAAAAATCTGGAATTTAGACACGATACTTTACTTAAAATCTCTCATTGCTGAGCTTTAAAACACAGACCTTGACCCATCAATTACATATACAGTGTTAGGTGAAATGCAACTCTCAGCATGAAAGCAATGTTTCCCTTTAAAATATGAATTGCTCTCTGAGCAAAAAGGGCCCATTTTCTCTTAAGTCTAGCCTTTTGAGTAGACTAACAGAATGAAGAAATATTACTATCATTTTTTACGTCTGCAACATTAGCAGGACATATTATGTTGTCAGTTCAGTACGAATTTCAAAACTCAAGACTTTTGCAGGGGGGAGGACGAAAAGGGGGAATATACTTTTAATAAAGATGAGATCACACTGGCATTATTTCTTCAATAGTTTGCTTCACTGAAACATTTCAAGTAACAGTGTAATGCAGAGGTGTTTTTGCTCTTTTAAAAGAGATGACAAACACTTACCATGTTATTGGCCCAAGCAATTAAGTGTCCTCTCCATTTTACATTTCTGATGTTTCCTTCCCCTTCATGTAAAACGGAAGGCTTCCACCTATTCATCCAGCCTCTTTCATAGAGCAGTAACTACAAAGAAGAGCATCAAGAAATATTTCTGTGACACAGTGCTGCACGCAAACAAAGGAAGTGAGCTTTTGTTTCCTTATCTCTTACTCTGCTTGAATTTAATGGCACGGAGAAATACACACCTACCATAAAAGAGAATGTAATCAGATGTTTTCATGAAGTACATTAACAATGAGAGTCTTACATATTATAGAAATCAAGTTACTTTCATAGCAATATTAATCAGCAGCCCTCCTATCAAGCTTCTTCCAAAGAATGGTACGTATGATTATTTCTATTTTAAAGATAAAGCAACAAAGGCATGTGAGAACCTAAGTACTTGTGGCAGCACTTAAGAAAGCTGGAAAGAAACCAGGCTGTCTCACACCTATCCACTGATCAGGTGATAGGCTCTTTCTTCCCTCCAAAAAGCAGAAGATGGTAAGAAAGCATCCCTTATACTTATGAGGTAGTCAAAATGATCAAAGACCTCCAAGCCTACAGCCTTGTGCTCGGCCCTGGGTGGGACCACAAACAGCCTTCAATAGGACTCAAGAAGAGATGCTGCACAATCCCAGACATGCAAACCACGCTGTACAATCAGCACTGCTGAAGGTGTGATTGGGTATACCAGGCTCTGCAAATAAAGAAGGAATTCATCATGTCTAGAAGCACGGAGTATTTTTTTTTTTAATACTTTGTAGAGCAAAGAAAAACACTCCTACATCCCCACAGTTTGACTACTTCCCAGTTTCTGTGTGATTTCAGGTTATTCAGTAACATCATAACATGGAATCACTTAAAGTGATGCAAAGCTCATGGAGGGATAAATAAGGGAGGTACCAATGTGGCCAACTTTCACCTCAGTACAAACACAGGCAAAACCTGAACCCTGTCTGACAAAGTGCAGGAGGACTACTGAGAAGTGTAAAATTGCAACCTCATGGATCTAATAAGTTACTACTGCTCGTATTTAAGATCCAGATGTACATGCCTGCTATGCAAGGCTTTTCCCTGCCACCCCTATATGCATAAATAAGTGGAATGATAAAACAATATTTGCTTAAAATAACGTATTCTTAAAAGTTTGTGTTTTTTTTCCCAAAGGTAATTACACAGACTGCTTATCTCTCCTACAGCCACAAGATGGCACCACAATACAAATATTTTCTCCAAAAGTTTAACGTAGTCACTATGCAGGATGTTCCTCAAGCTTTCACACGAAGCACCCTGCTGACATCAAGCTTCTCACCTGAGCACAATAGAGGGCTCTCACTTAGAGCCCTCCTGAAATGACCCAGTGCTTGTCCCACAGCCCACATGAAGTACTCTGCTTCAGAGAGTCTCCATCCATGAAAAGGCCAGGCAACAAAACTCACAGAATATGTTGTTTTATAGCAACTACAGTAAAAACATCTATGCTCATAAGGCTGTGGCATACAGAGGAGTGTGCCTGAGTCATCTGATAGGTAGACATGAATCAGGAGCACTACTCAATTGAAATGAATTAGCTGCTATTAAAAGGTGAGGGTGTTATTTAAATTTTTAGGTGTCCTGCTGATCCAGACCTGGAAACTCCTCCTTTTCTAGTTCATGAGCTCCCAATGAAAAAGAATAGCCACTCAGGTGCTGCTTTCAATACAGTCCAGTAAAAGGACTTACTGGATGTGGCTGCAAAAACTGATGTGGATGATGTGAAGTAAAAGAAGCTGACACTGGTTATTTTACCTGAAGTTCGTTGTGATAATGACTGATCTGTGATTTAAGTTAACCTGCTGCACACAGAATCCAGCTGTTTCATGGAATGATGCTTAGAATGATGTTTTCAAGCTATTTTGTTACTTTTTATGGCTTCTGAACACCATGCTTTTTCATGCCTCTCTACCTAAGTAAAAGCTTAAGAAAATAAATCACCTGTTGTAAGTTGTAAGGAGAAAAGAAAAATGAAATCCTGCTTCAGCCTACTTAACACCTACTTAACTTCCCAAAAGAAGGGCTGTAGAAGACATCAGCTTGATACTTACTTGTAAAAAACAGAAAGTGAAACTGAATCACTGCAGCACCCCAAGCTCCCCATTCCACATCAGGAAGTGCTACAGGTCCAACACTGAAGCTAGCAGACACTCAACAGAACGGCTTCAAAACAAAAATATTTTCATCTCAAAATGTGCTTTACTACTGTATTTGCAATGGAACTGCATACACTTTACTGATACTTAATGTGTTTTATTTATTATTTCTTACAACAATTACACCCAAATACTGAGATACTGAACACACAACTTTTGTGATTTTTAACTGCTATCCACTGAATACTGCTCTCTCAAAATAAGCAGCCTAATTTATTTCTTGGTCCTCCTCTCCATCTTCGTAATGAAATATTTATTACACCAGAAAGCCATTTAAAGCTTCAACAGCAGCTAGACACATAAGAAAAATCCACCATTCCTGAAGGGGTTCCTCCTACTACCTCCTTTCCTTCTTTTGTAGGGGAAAAATATTTTAGGGCTTTATTTCTCATAAATCCCATATTTTGGCAGTCAGCGTTCACAGTACTTATATTTCAACAGCAGACACAAAATCACTTTCTTGCATTCTCTGCAATAGAGTTTATACTTTCCTTTTTTTGATTTGCCCCGGTAAATCTTCCAAGCTCTTTGTTACAATACAGTAGTGCTTAGAATGCACTTCCAGCATCTCTCACATGTACTGCAACATGGTAACATACCTATAACAAAAGAAAACGAACTTTGACTGTAAGGGTTCCCATCCACATTCCTTCACAGGACAATGAAATTTCCTTATAGCTCACTACTAATTATTTTGCAGGACTTCTTAACTGCTTATGCTTGTCTACCGGGTCACTGGGAAAAAAGACCCATTGGAATGTATGAGACGAGGAGTATGCAGGACACTTTTTGCTTTTAAGTTAAAATAGTTCTCTTGGATTAGTGAATACATCTCTCCATATCTTTCACTACCGGGAGATTAAACTCCTCTGAGAGCATAACATTCTATTTGCGGAGTGCATCCACTAAAGAGAATAGTGCTTGAATTTAATGGAGCTTACCACGCAATTAGCATTAACACTAATTGCATGTAATCCCAGCCTTTAAACTGTGCACAGGAATTCTCAGTTCTCTGAATAAAGAGACCAATGACCGCAGCTTTGGTAGTATCAATACACAGACATAATTTAATTTCACCTCTCTTCTCCACACAATTACTTTGTTTCAAAACAGTGTCTTTGCTGTAAAGATCTGGAGGACTTTCACTGATGCCAAAGGCTGAGATTTCAATTTGTAGCTGAAGAGCCACCCTTCCTTTCCCTATGGCAGCACTGTTGGATTAGTTTTCACATTCAGTGAAGTAATACCAGGAGAAATATTTTCTTTATTTTGTTCTTTGTTTGCCCAGGTGTGAAGATGTACCCACCTGTGGCAATTCTCCATATTTTGGCACCTGTCCTATCAACTCATTTCTCAGCCAGGCCAGATCACAAAAACCTAACATGCTACTGCCATATTTACAACTGATCATCATAGATTTTTATTGTTCTAAGCATAAAAACAACATTTACAGGCACAGCCAAGACTAACATATATCTGAGGGTAACACAGACCAGCATGCCACGTGAAGACATACTGTTTAATCACACATCCCTAGGAAAATACATAGCAAGAATAAAATATCATCACTTCTGTGTGGAGCAGCAATGGACTAAATGAGTTGAGATGAGGAAGAGAATACTGTAAGCCTCAAGTTTTCAGCTGAAGATGGTTTTCAAAACATCATCACCAAATGATGCTACAGAAGGGACTGATGGAGGGCAGTGCAAGTGGAGGGAAACAAAGCATGGAGGCAGCCTACAGTGCTGGAAAAGAAGCAGTGATAGTGGGGAGATGCAGCAGCTACTGCCCTGTAGTCCACGGGCTATAAACTGAAAGAAGAAAAGCTAGAAATTTTGAAGCTTTTCATGCAAACAAATGCCACAGGACTTTTATGAGGCTATACCTTTAATGACTCAGCTGCTAGTTTCCAGCTGTCACCTATTCACAAACAGCTACAGAATTAACACCTTCAAAAGCAAGTTCAGCAGGCTTGCAGGCAGAAGCACAAGCTCTCACACATTCCATGTGTTTAGATCCTCTTTGCTTGCCACCTCAGGCAATGAGAAACAAGTTTTCTACACAGAATTTAGCAAAACACAAAACATGCATGCAGGCCTACAGTCCATTCTCTCTCCACACAAACCAAATTTGTGCATTAAAGCACATGATGAACGTATTTTTTCCTTCTTTATTACGAAAATCAAGCCTCATTTGACCATAACCAAGTAAGCTCCTTATTAAGTAAATAAGAGATGTTAACCTCCCTTTTGAAGTCTAGTCTGTTGAATAATACAGGATACATCCGGGCCCCATACATTACTGCACACAAATGTCAGACCTGCACTGTTGTGGCTAGCTTCCTTGCTGCTACAGCTTGCTTCGTGTTTATGGTAAATTACCCAATGCATGGACAGAAACTGCCATAGTATTTACTCCTTCACTTTAAGCAGACCTTTGACTATTTACTGAGTGACATTTTATAGCTTACAAAGCAATCTGCCTTTCTTGTCTGCCGCTCTTCTGCCCAACATAATGCCAAACAGCTGACTATCTGCTTTCTAAAAATGGACTGTGCTGCAAACAGCATCCTGACAATTTAATAATTTGTCAAAGTAGTCCAACCAGTTATTATGAAGTACATATCATAGGGTTCAGAGGTAAAGGTCACTTACTTACTCATGAAGCAAAGTGCATCTGCTGACACTAAAAAGCAGACAATTAAACAAAAAATCACAGACATTCCCCACCAGGCTTGACTTTTAACATACAAAATACACCACCCTCAACAGCAGTTGCAAAAGAATGCTACTTCTCTTATTGTCTGTGCACTGCTATCCTTTTTCTGTGTACAATGTTGCTCTATTGGGAATGGAAAGGAATTCAGGTTGTCTTGCTTTGTGTCTCAGACAGGAGATGCAGTGGGTCCTGCCCAAGCTTCTAATATTGAAATCATATTTTCAAGTTTTTGAATGGAAGAATTTGCTTCAGGCAACGCTAAGTTCCCTCTGCTTTTGTAACAGACAAAGAAGAGTCTGATATTCAACCATACACTCAGATGCTAATTCTGAGAGGATGAATGGGACAAAACCATTTTTAGATTAATCAGCATTTGAAGAGCAGCTCTTACAATTCATCTTCTCTAGCAACACAAATACAGACCGTATTAAAAATGTGCTTTTAAATATTTCTATCATATATATTTTGTATACACATATGATGTAGCTACAGGTAAATATGTAACTGTTTGCAGTCACAGGGTAAATATTCACTTTTATCTTGGCTCTCTAGCTTAAATTGTGTCGGATTGGATACTCAAATTAATAGTTATCATAAGATACTGAATATCTTCCTCCCATATTGGGTCAGTAGTCGTTTGCTGAGTTGTGCTGGGTCCCCACTACTATGCTACGCTGAAATCCTTACCATGAAAGCTTAATTAGCACAAACTCAGTAGAGTGACTCAATCACTCCAGGTAAATCATCCTCATAGGAACTTTACTATAAAAACCTTCTTGTCTGGTTCCTGAAGTTAATCAAAGCATGAAATAGGGACTCTCTTCAATGCCCCTGCCAAGAAAGAAAACTCCAGTTGCCCTGCTCTCCTAAGTTCTCTTTACACAAGAGGTAGTAGCTGATACCTTTACTTTGGAACTGAAATATCCTTCAGTCTTCTCTCTTTGTTGGTTCTGCCTCTTTAACCCTCTGGATATAATGGATACTCAGACTCTGCAATAACCTTCATTTAGGTGATGTACTGGGAAAGATTGGCACTCTAATGGTTAAATAAAGAACACCTTGTTTTCAGCTTTACCACCCTCATTTAGTTGGCTTTTACCCTGTTATTTGTTAAGATTAGACCCTTTTTTAAAAGGTAGAAGGTTATGGCCTTCAATAGTACAGTATTTGTCTTTTCCCTTGCTTTGAAGCTCTACTGTCTGCTCCAGAAAAGAATGCTCTGTTATTTACAATATACAGTATTATTATTTCAGGGTTACCATCATCTGCCAAGCCATCACAACTGTGATGTAGTTAATTGCAGAGATAAAGGAAGGGGAGCAAGGAAAGGCTTTTTTTTTAGTATGGTTACCCATTGCTTCTCTCTGAGATCATGACAACATTTCTATAATACCTGTTTCTTGTTTTTTTTAATGCACAGATAATACAGATAACAATCATTCATTGGGGAAAAAAAATGGGGGTGTGTGAAAAAGCTTTTTCAGCCCCAAAGGAAGGCAATGATAGTATCCCAAGCTTAAAGAAAGTTCCTTAGTTTTAGAAACAAGACCTTTAACAAGCAATTGAAATTAGTTAATTGGTTTGTAATGTAATTTAGAAGAAAAAGAAGCTCTTATAAGACTCCAGCACAGGCCCAGCTAAGCAACTATAAATGGTTATATGCAAAGTGGACTTAAAGTTCCAGCAATCTGTGACAATTTAAGCAGTTACCCCAGGGAGCAGAGCTCTCAAGTCAACTTTAAGTCAGGCTGCACTTCTAAGACACAGCAAATCTCAAAACCACACAGCAGCTCACATCAATTCCTACCATCCACCCATCTCTGGAACTGAGCAGCTGCAATACACATCCCCAAAGCAAATCTCCTGCGCTCTGTTTATTTTGTTGAAGACATTGTAGCTTACCTTGGACATCTGCAAAATGCCCTACAGCAGGCCTTTGAACTAAAGGCATACTTTTTACATGTATTACATTGTTATGAAGAACAGTGTATTTCTCAAAAGAGAGAAAATTAAGGATGTAGTAACTTAGAGCTCCTCACACTCCGTTCACAGAAGCACTACAATTAGGGATCCCATTGAGGCAGATGCTTGGCTATACAATTAATAAATTTAAACAGATCTTAAAGTGCTTTCTTGACATAAGACAAAGCAATATTGAACTTAGGAGGTGTGTGCCATTCACACTTTCTGTGTGCATGTGTGGTTTGGCTTCTCTGTTTTGTAAACTGTAAACCAAAATCAGCATGAAATTTATGTTCCAAAATCAACAGCATCTTTCTCGTATCCTGTGACACCAAGGTACATAAAAAAACTAGTTTGAGTAAGTGATGAAATTCCTCTCTGGCTTCTTCCAACGATGTTAGCAAACTATGAAAAAAAAATATGCTCACATACATAACATCATCATCTCCTGAAGTGACAAATTCACTTGGACCCCACAGCACTCGGACAAAGATTTCACACACTTTACGCTATTTAACTGAATGCAGCTCAAGCAAAGAGCATAGTGTAAGAGTCTTAAGCAAACCTTTTCTCTTAAGATTGATATAAGCAAGGATAGCCGTATTTCCACAGCAGCATCACACCGCAAAGAACTGTCTTCCCAAAGCTCCACCCTCCATGCAGGCAGAGCAGGACAGGCAGTGTGCCTCTTACCAATGCCAGTTATGAAATAGCTGAAGTCATAGAATCATAGAATGGCCTGGGTTGAAAAGGACCACAGTGCTCATCCAGTTCCAACCCCCTGCTATGTGCAGGTCACCAACCAGCAGCCCAGGCTGCCCAGAGCCACATCCAGCCTGGCCTTGAATGCCTGCAGGGATGGGGCATCCACAGCCTCCTTGGGCAACCTGTTCCAGTGCCTCACCACCCTCTGGGTGAAAAACTTCCTCGTAATATCCAAACTAAACCTCCCTTGTCTCACTTTAAAACCATTCCCCCTTGTCCTATCACTATCCACAGCTGCTCTCAAGGAGATCTTCCCCCACTCTGTATAAATACCTGGGATTGCCCCGGCCCAAGTGCAGCGCCTTGCACTTGTCCATGTTGAACCTGCTTAGGTTCTCATGGGCCCACTTCTCCAGCTGGTCCAGGTCCCTATGGGTGGCTTCCCTTCCCTCTACTGTATCAACTGAACCGCTCAGCTTGGTCATGGTATTCTTGCAAAGCCTAAAACATGCAGAGATCTTAGGAGGTAGGAATCTCCTGCCTGAAGAAGCTGTGACAACTAGATAACCTACAGACATCAGGTGAAAGCATAATGAGAAGTGGTTCAAGCTCCTTTCTCTTGGTTCTTGTGGAAGAACTCCCCACTGCCTGCTGACCCTAAGCAGCTCTTCATCTTTATACTTATGAAAGGTATAAGGAGCAGCGATGTTTATCTAGGCTTTTTTCTTTTCAGAAAAAGAAAAATCTTTGATAAATAGGTAGATGGGATTTAACCTTCTGAATCTTCATAGAGCATTTTGTTGCTGTCATTATATAAGCTAATATGCTCCTTTTGGAGGAAAGGAGAAAAGAGGAATGGCTTCTATCACAAGGATAAAAGGTTTTATTTGTTGGTTTTATGTATCAATAAAATCAAATTACAGGTGTCAAGGGACATCTATTTCAATGCTAAATACCTTATGTTAAGATGTCAATTAAAGTTTTCCTGAGGAGGAAAGTTCCTCAGCAAAAAATGAATGCATTAAAAACAAGTATACCGTTCCCCAGAGGACAGAATATAAAACAACCTGTCAAGTAATCAAAGATAACCAAAGAGAATGTGTTAACTTCCTGATGTTTTTTTCTGTTCGGCATCAGGTGATTGCAAGCTCTTTTACCACCTGACGGAGTCCTGTTCTATTAATTCCCTGCCTCTCTCTTTCCACACCACTTTTATCATGACTAAAAAGCTTCACAAACTGGTGGCTGACAAAAGACATACACTGACTATGCGTTATTTTAAGGACAACGCCAGCTCTTACCAGCCTGCAAAAACTGTCAAACATGCACACTACATACAAAAGAAATAAAAAAAACAGGTATTTATTGAAGAATACTCAGCTGCTAATGAAAATTAAGCTGTATGAAGCATGAGGAGTCTGTATTTCTTACATGCTGGTAAGGCTGAGCCAGGGCATTCAGTTTGATGCATCTAAAAGTGAGGATTGTTCATCCTTAATTCATAAGAAAAGGCAAAAGAAAAATTTCATGAATTTAAAAAAACTGTTCCAAATCAAACTTCTCATATTTTAACTGAAAATATGCAACGTGACAAAACATACTTGTTGGACCTGGAAATATCTGTATTCTGAAGGTCAAAATTGTAGCCTGAACCAATAAAATACCATGATGGACACATAAAAATAGCAAACTATCCAGATAGCAGACTTTAATTACACAGATACAAATACTCTATCCACAGATTTCCTGAGCAACTTAAAAAAAAAACAAAAAAACCCCACAAAACCCACAAAGCAAACAACAACAACAACAAAAACCACAAAAATTCTCAAACACCAATGCCAACGTATATTGTAAAAAAGAGCAGTATTAAGGTTTAACATCTGCTCCAAACCATGTAAAAATGAAAACACCTGCACTAGGAAATGCAAATGGCTGTTTTTTTCAGGCTAGAAGGACAGAAGTAGTTTTATTTTGACACTATACTCATTGCAACATGATTTTAACATAACAAGTTGTGTTACTTTTTCCTGAAATGAATGCTAATTAAGAATGTGGTGGAATACAATGTATGAAGAGAAGGAAAAAATAGAGCAATTTTCTTTAGGTGTTATCTATCACAGATACACACTTCCTGAGCGCCTTTTAAAAGTTATTTAAAGGTAGCCTAAGTTAATTTCACTGAGACTGCTTACCTTTTTTCCTCCGGTTACAAACTGCTTGAAGTGGGATCTTACAAAATGAGGATGAACAGCAACAATCTGAGTATTAACAGAGAAGAAAACGTGTATTACAGCTGAAATAAAGAGTTTCAGAGGGCACTGTATCAATTTTTAAACTAGACAACCCTTTGCCAAATATCAAATATTACAGTTGATCTTCTGAAGTAGAGATAAAATCTTTCAGACAAGTTAGTTTGCTTCTCTGTCCTACTGCTTTTGCTTAGAAAAAAAAAGGAAATCCTCCATATTGCAGGGCATGACACTGAGGGTCACAGGCAGAACAATTACTTTTTTGCACAGCAGGTAGCAGAATGAGGACCACGTGGCATCGGACCACCATAAGCATTCCCCCAAGTGAGACTTCCTTGTGACCTTCCCAGAGGACACAACTTGGTGTTGTCACATTGCTTAAACAACCTTTTTACTGTACCTCACAAAGCACTGGCCTTACACTCTGACTGATCAGCTGGGTCTAGTGTGTTGAATCAGAGAGCTGAAAAAGTGCTTTGTCTTACACGTCAAACAGGAGCCAAGTAAGTTGTATTCAAGGTGTGTAAAAACTTAGTATGCTCATTTTTTTCCCCCTCCAAAAGCAGATGCAAACACAGAAGACCCTAAGCAGCAAAATGCAATAATTTGCACACACCATCATTTCTCCTGCAGTAAAAATGTATTCTGATAAAAAAAGCTTAAACCTTCTTATACGTCTTCTAGAGGCATTTCTTTAAAGATCCAGCCAGCTCCACTTATTTTAACCTTATTTCAGAAACTGAGTTCTTTCTTTTACAGATTATATCCGCATCACTACTCATTGCTCTGTCCCAGGATAGGTTTAACAGATATGAATTAGTTGCAAAATATTGACCTCACAGTTAGTAGAACTCTCAGAATTTATATCACAGATCTACAAAGAGAGAAATATGTTGAGACAGGTAACAGCTGAAACAGGACAATTTCTCTTTCACTTTGCCTTTTGTATTTGAAAAATTCAATAATACTTCTTACAAAACCTAGATCAGCTTTCTTCCTACCTAACCAGATCAAAAGCCTTTATATTGAGATAGATAACTATTTTCTTGTGACTTGAATAACATTACAAGGGAGCAGTACTCCTCTCTCATTTAGATTCAGTGTGACCTTACCGTTATTAAAGACAACAACACAATTACTAAAGATTAAAACAAGCACTTACTTTAATGGGACAGTCAAATGTTTCATGAAATTCTTCTGCTGAATACAATCCAAACACTTGCACCTAATTTAAAAATAAAAAAATGTAACAAAGAAATGTATGTAATAACCACTTGACAGTTAAAGGTGAATGTAAAATGCTAATAAGTAGAAGATTAATGTGAATGTCAACAGCTGTATTATCTTCATATTTAATAATGCAGAGTTAATTGAGATATCTTCAGCTACCATTACAGCTTATCACTAAATATTTTCAGTAGTGCAAAAGTAGTTACTTCAAGTTTTTTTGTTTCCTAAACACAAATGCAGCAAAACAACTTCCTTTCGCTTTAGGCTGATCAAATCTGTTTAACAGATACTGATCTAGGTAAGGTATGAGCAAAATAATAACATTCAGGGGAAGATAAATTAAAAACTCTTCCTTTCTGAGAAGGAACGGGAAGATTTCTTTTTCCCTCCGAGCAATACAGACTTTACATAAGAAAAAAAAATTGTGACAACAAAGCAAAACGAACACGAAAACCACGTCCCGTGTTCCTTGGCATCCTCTCTTCCTCCCAAGTGCATTCAGTGCTACTTTGTTTTATCCCATGACAACTGGGAATGTCACTCTCTGAAGATTCCTCATCTATGTTGATGTTTCAGTACATTTAATAGTCAGCAGTGGAGTTGTAACCATAGGCCATAAGACAGCTATCCAAATTAATTTATGTGAAGAAGGCTCAACACTTATAAAAAAGTATGTTTCTGCTGGCAAGAGAATTAACAGGTTTTTTGACGTGGTTTCTTCTCTTTATTTACAGAGTCGGTACAGAGGTATGAAGTATAGGAAATACCATTAGACTTCTTAGATGCTATGAGCTCAGGGTTTCCTCTACTCTCTTCTGGTCTCTTGTCTCTTCATGCAATATCCCTTTCCCCTTCCCCTATTCCCACATGAGGCAGAGACATCTGAGTTCTTCCAGAGCCTAGGAGTAAATTAGGGCTGAAGACTGATGGCCACGAATTAGTGATTGATCTACAAATTAGGATTTCCACAAAGAATAGTAAACGGTTTAATTTTACATTACTCTTTTCAGAGGTATGTCAGAAACTGTTGGAACGAGATCACCTCAGCAGGGAGGGAAAAGAGCATGGCAGGGAGCGGATCCACGGGAAGCTGTATTTGATAGCACATCTATCTCAGGAGGCTCCCAGCCAGGCCTACTCAGTCATCCTTACCATCTGGAAGAGAGAATCCCCCCATCATTCTGCTCTACATGCTCAACGACAAGTTGGACTCATTCAGAGATCTAAATACTCTCTTAACTTTGCTATGTCTCAACCATGACTCCTTGTGTTGGGAGTGGTGGGGGGACAGCTACAAAAAAAAAAAAAAAAAAGCGAAAATACAAATCAAAAACACTAGAGAAAGATCTGCAGAACAAAGCCAGTAAATCCCAGTAATGGGCCACAGAAATAAAGCTTAATGGCTCTATGAAAAGATCAATTCGGCTATCAGAGGACAAAAACCCAGACGGCCAAGAAGACAGAGTGAAAAATTAGAGTTTAGCTAAACTACAAGAGGAACTAAGCTGTCCTCACACTGGCTCAAAGCTTGGCAGTCTCAGTAAAGCAAAAATACCTCACAACCCCTCATCTCCTTTTCAAGCCTGTCTCTGAAACACGTTTTCTAAGCAGCATTATCAGCCCATTACTCATTAGTGAATACACAGACTCTAAAAACACCCTTTAGAAATACTGCCACGTGGAGGTAGCCAGATGCATCGCAAGGCTGTGATTATGTAAGCCAACCAAAGGGCTACATTTGAGTTGGGTCGGACTGTAAGCCTGGAAAACCTTGTGGCTGATGTCTGGAAGATTTTGTTTTCTGGGTTTTTGTTTTCAACACTTGGAGCAGTACATCCAGTGCAACAGGCTAAACAAAATATGGTACAGAGGAAAGAGAAAATATGAGGGAAGAAAGGAGGTGAAAAACAAAACGGTCAAAACAAGTCTAAAATCTCAATGAAAGCAACATTCTCGAGAACAAGAAGAAAAACAACTCTCAAATTAAAACCAATTAATCAAAATTAACAGACACTGGCAACGGTGCCTTCAGCATTTTCATAATACTGCATCAAATGTGTCACTAAGATGTTTCTTTAAGAGTTTGAAAACAAAATGGAGCCAGTTAACTAAAGAGGAAAAAACAACTCAGCATAAAATACATGTTATCATGTTTACTCTAGGGACACCATATAACAGTTTATTACTTCTTAATGTCTTTTATTCTTCAGAGAGAAAGTGATTCTTTTGATATTACAAAGCTATATTGGATTTATCTATTTCTACTTTCCATCATCTACTTTCTCTTCATCTTATGTTTTTTAGGCAGCTGGAAAAAAGTGTTTCATGAGCACACTATATTTTGCCAGCCCTTTCCATTTTAAATATCCACGATCCACTATTCCAGCACACCCAGATGTAGCTGTTTTTTGCTTCCAAATATGGAAGCAACAGCTAACTTTGAGACAGTCAAAATGCAAGAATGGTCTGCCTGAGCCACTTTATTTTTTTTTTTTTTAAGTGTATAATACAGTACTTCATGAATATTTTTAACGTAATTATTGTTACAGGCAGTAAATATGACACTAACACATGTAAACACGTTTTCAATATACTTTATGCTGTCTTTTATGAAGTTCCAAGCCAATAAAGACACCGATTAGAAATTCCATTCTGCAAGATACAAGGGCTGCTCCAAAAATAATGTCTCCTGTTTTATTACATTGGCCAATGACATTAGAGGCAGATGTTGGTGTTATGGCAGTAGGGGTTATACCTTCCCACCAATATTCTAATCACATTTTGTTGTGCAACAGATGGCAGCAGAAGGGCAGTCTGACAAAATGGCATCTGATATGGAAGTGCATCTGAAGTAAAGATGTGGAACTGAATTCCTCTGCGGAAAACATGACACCCACTGACATCCATCAGTGCTTGCTGAATGTTTACGGAGACCAAATAGCAGATATAAGCACAGTAAGGTGGTGAATGGTGTGTTTTAGCAGGGGGAACAACGATGTGAAAGACAAGCCACATTCCAGACAGCCATGAAGATTTTTATGAATGCAGCATGCAGGTTCTTATTCATTGCTGGTAAAAATGTGTACTTAATGGTGGTGACTATGTTGAAAAACAGCATTTTGTAGCTGAGAATTCGCTCTATCCAACAGCGCTATTGTGCTCACTATATCTGCTGTACTTTCATAATGTGACCTAACCTAGGTGTTAATATTCCTGCAGGGGGATTGGGCTAGGAGATCTTTCAAGGTCCCTTTCAATCCCTGACATTCTGTGATTCTGTGATTTCGTGGAACTAAATAGGAAGCATCACTTTCAGAGTGATCCACATGGGAGAGCTTTACACCCAGGTTATTCAAGGTAGTATACAAGCAGACAAAATTCTAACATAAAAAAAATACATTTTTGCAGATGCAAGTGTATTTCCCCTTCTATTTTTTCCAGCACCATAATTTTCCTTTTGTATTTCAACATCTGGTCATTATTCCCAGACAGTGGACACAACGAAGTAGTGGGTGGTGGCTTTGACTTCTGTTCCTTTCCATGAAGGTGATGACCAGCTGCACAGAGTCCTTTGGCAAGGAACATTTTCAAACAACAAAACTTTCAGTGCAGAAAACCTGCAAGTGGCTCATTCACAGCACAGTTGTTGCAAAAATGCAGGTTTTGACATTAAGTATGGATGCTGCCTGACAAGAAGGTCAGAGAATTGCACTCTACTGCTCTGTCCCTCCTCAGTAAACATAGCTAGTCCAGATCTAGTTTGAAAGTGAAAATAAAGGAGTAGTGAAAGAAAATGCAGAACACAGCAGAACAGGTATAAGGAAGAGGTTCTCACCATAAAGCCTTCCTTCAAGAGGACAGATAGTTTCCAACTCTCTCATGTTGGATTCATTCTGATATGGGAAAATGTACTCCCTACATAGTGCAAGAATCATTTGCAGTGGTCCAGAGGACATACCATCACTAATTTGTGTAAGATAAATATTTTAACCTAGCTAGTGCAAATGTTTTTAATTTTCTTTTAACTGATTTAAAAAAAAAAACAAAAAAACAAAAAAAAACACCTGTTTTTTCCCCCCTTTCTTTCCTCTCAAAGATTTCACAATTCCTAGTTATCTATTTGATAACCTTCCAACTATTTGCATAACCATTTAATTTCTTACAGCACACACACTGTGGTAAGAAAAGACATACAGGGCATATAAAATTACACTTTTCTTATAACCAAGAACCTTCAAGTGCTACAGTATCTGGCCAGGAATTTCTGCCATTTTCTTATACAGCAGCACAACATACTTGATATGTTTTCACTTACTCTTTGGGTGGATTCTCTCATAGAGAAACACCATTCTGGATCACTGGCAGTTGTAAAACACTCAGATCTTTCAAGCCTCCATTGTACAATATGGTGAAATAGCAATGCCCCTGGACTTTGAGAATACAAGTGCAATTCATATTGCACTTGTGTTACTCCAATCCTTTGTAAAAGCATTATCAGAGTTAGCTCTAGCATGGGAAACAAAGTTTAGATTGCCTTGTATAGCATCCAGCTTACTGGATCCACAACAGCTATGTCATTAAGTGAAGAGAGATTCATTGTTTAACATAATGGAGTTTTTCCTTTTCAAACAGACACATCACAATAGGAACAATAAATTTCCGAACATTTCTGCCTCAAATGCGTATTTCAAACATTACTGTATTAATTTAAAAAAACTCAACGTTTTTTATTACCGTTAACAATTACTGACCCTTCCCTTACCTTGCAATCTTGTAGACAATTAGGATACTCTTGCTGTGTTTCTCACAGGTTGCAAAATTCTACAACCTACTTTGAGAGGCACTAGTATCCCAATTACTCTGTCAAGATACTGACATTGACATCAAGATATCTCTGAGAAACAATAGGCTTGTATACGTAAACTGGCTCTCTGCCTGTTGCAGAAAAAAGCATTTACTTGCAAGGGAAAAAAAAACCTCAAGCACATACAGTCTAAAGAGGCTGTTTCCCCATTTTGCCTATTGCAAGATCGAATTTTAGTTTGAATTCATCCAACTTATACTAAAAGGGTTGGATCCATTAGGATCATCAACAGTCCTCCTCCGTCCAGATCAACTGTGTAAGAAATGTTCTACTCTGGAACTCAAGTGAATATTGAGAAATGATTTAAATGATTTTTAATGCACTCCATTTGTATATGAACATTATATTCAAAAAAGAAGCTTAAAAACACCCTGTGTGTAAGAATTTTATCATTGCAAACCAACATTACAGAAGACTGCCATCGACTTAAAAACAAAAAAAGACATTCTTATAAGTGGAAAATCAATCACCAAAACCACTAAATGTCACAGCTCTACATTCCAGAGAAGCACTGATAATTGTTAGTTATACACTGCACAAATGAAATATGTCCTCAGTCAAGGAAGTAGGTGCCAGTTTTTTAGGAAACTGTACATATATTGATTTTACATTTATTTAATGTGGCTGTTGTAAGACACTTTATTCTTCTGATAAACTATGATTGCTTATCAAAAGATTCTATAATTCAAGAGAAACATTCATAATGTGTGTGAAAATGAAAACCACCAGCCCACAGAATCCAATTTTGTGGATTTATAGCAGAAAGGCATTAAACTACTGTCTTGCAGGAACAGCAGACTAGTCACTGAAGTATAACTGGCACAGCAGTAATGATTAAGGTGACATGTCCTCCTGCCACAGCTGTTAATCAGCTTAATACCAGTTACATTATTGACATTCTTGTAATTACTTTTCCTATGGCACATTCGTGCAAAATATATTTGACTTTAATTTTGAGTATTCAAAGGTGAGCCCACTTCTCAAGATGGATGGTCAAAGTGGTGCTAAATGTAGTACTTAATTTCACAGGTATCACAATTATCTCCAGTTTAATACCAAGGACTGCCTTTTACCTCATGAGGTACAAAAGTGGGTTAGTCGTACCTTTCCATCTTCTGAACAAACACCCATGTGTTCTCCACTTTCATCCAGACTGATCTGATTTATCTTCACGGGGCTCTAGGAAAGAAAAGAAAAAAAACAACACAGACTTTTAAAGTTAAAGTTACACCAGTAGTCATATGCTTTTATGTCCTCTATATTTGCTGAGATTTATGTATGAGAAGTTGTACGATACTTAATTGTAAAGTCAAAAAACATGGAAGACATCTTTCTCCAACAATGCCCAAACACAGCCTTCTTTCAGGCCTTATGCCTAACCCAGAGACCTGACATTTTTAGCTTCAGATGCCTAGTGTTCTCATGAAGGGTCAGGGTCCCAGAATTGGAGCTTCTGAGTCTGCACACCACAGGTACTCATTAATAACTTCTCCCGCTATCAAAACTCAGCATAAGGCATGCTGACAGAACAGGCATCAGTGCAACTGAAAATTCCAGCTTGGTCTTCCTGCAAACCTTTTCCCTGGCTTTCATTTTTGCTTCTAATAGCGTTTTCAAAAGCTAGTATTAGAAAGTATTGAAGTGCAACATGGGTGTACTCAGACAAATATTGAGAAAAGCCTCAAGACTGCACCGATTTAATAAATTGTCACTTTCCCTATCCATTTAAGATATTCTTTTAAATTTGTCCTGCAGGGTTATACAGAATACTACTGTTTACTTTAAACATCTGTCCTTAAGTACTGAGGACTGACCTCACATTTGGGTAACACTGTGCATATCCTCTCATGTATCAAACTCCACACTCAAGTACCAAGAACTTCCTTACATACCACGATCCTGATTTCACCCTCTGTAACAAATATCATTTCAAGCATCATTGAAAGATCTTTACCCAAGTCCAACCTTAACAATTCTACGATTCTATAAGTCAGACCCAGATATTGAAGAAAAACTTTCCAAGCTCTTAGAAGATTTTGAACAGATTGCACCACAAAACAAATCACTTGTGGGATCCTGAGAATAATAAAGGAGAAGTCCATCGTACATTTGTGTGAAAATGAACTGTCACTGGAGCAGTACCAGAGTCATGGGATCACATTAAATGTTACAGTGTGTGCCTGAAATATAACAAGTCCTCATGTATGCAATGGCAGTTGGAATTACACCACTATAAAAAGTTACATTAAAACTCAGTGTCCCAGTGAACAACCTATGAAGGGTAAAACCAAGATCTTCTCACAGCCTTTGGAAAGCTTTTCCCTGTGTATCCTTCACACGCACACACAAAACATAAGTAAGGGAAAGTAAGATTTTCCTCACCTCACACTTGTAAAAAAAGAAAAAACACCAGAAAGAAAAACAACAGCATTTACCCAAATTATATTTTCAATTTCCTTCTTTCTAACCAAGGTTGAACAGCTGTGCCCTGCTTTGCAGCAGATGGCCTGACAAAATGGGAAATGGATGCTGCCAGTCCTGTAGCTTTCCTGCTTCCTTACATGCAGAAGACATCACTCAGCCCCTCACCATGCCACAGAGAGCTGCAACTCTGCAACTAATTACTGCAACTGCTGCCTAACACAACACGGCCTCTTCACCATGAGCTGTCTGCCAAAAAGCTTGCTGCCAAGGAAGTCATCAGAACAACCTCCCTTGATTTATGTTCTCCAGCTGTACTTTCACCCACCACAGGGAAGAAGTGCTGACTTACTGCATTTCAAAACTACAAGAGAGCACAGCCCCAGCTGTGCAAGCAGCTGGCACGCATTCCTCCAGACACATTTGGGGTGTCAGCTGAGGAGAATGGCTCAAGCACATCAGTCTGCTGGTGTGGTCAACACCCCCACGACGGCTCTCATTCTCAGGTGCTACATGCACACCTGGCTAACTCCAGGATTCAAGGATGCTGAATAAGACAGGAAATGTCAGTTATCAGGCTTGCTTTCTAGAAGCTTCATAAAAATGACCAGCTCACAATTTCATTCCTGCCTTACCTTGAAAATGCTTTTCTAAATTTCTGGTTTGTTCATCAAGGTGCAAGAGGAGATTATTTTGTCTCTGCCGGAGAGACATAAAAAGTAAAACCCACCCATTACACCCCAGCACATCTCCACTCTCTGCACTACGATAAAACCTCTGTCCCTCTGCAAGGAAGAGTGCAGAAAGTTCAGCAGAGCTCATCAAGTGGCATGGCTTTTGTTCTGAGAAGTATCTGAGTTGCTATTGCCACAACTTTCTCAAAAGTTCTTCTCTTCTTTTCTTGCTCTGCAATTGGAGAGGCAAAAAGTCCATTCTGAATAACATCACCTTGACACAGGGTCATGGGCTAAGTCAGTGTTCAGTCAGCCCCATTCTTCTCATCTCTCCACCACCTAAAGCCTGCCATCAGTGCTTGCATGACAGCAGCAGCAGGTCTAGTAGCACTCCTACATAATGGCAAGAAAGCCCAAGACATAAAGGAAACAAAGCAGACACACCAGAAGAGCAGAGGACTCAGCTGTAATGTCCACATCGTTCCCACTGTGCTGGGGAATGGCTTTGATAAAGCTTGATGCTCAAAAAATGAAATGCAGGAAGTAGGCAAGGTAGACTACATAAGTTATCTTGGCATAAAAGGTGAAGAAGCAGAGCAAGATGACAGACCTTATCTATCACATTGCTGTTTGGAAGCCACGTAGCACAATCTGGAGATGAAATGTGTGGCTGTGCTCAGGTAACTGAATGGTGCCATGCAGGGCAAAACTGCTCCAGATATACATGCAGTATACTGTGGGTAGGGGAAAAGAACATCATTGCAGCATGCATTACTTCAGAATTGTTTAGTAGGAATTTGTTAAGTAGAAATTCAGTATGCATGGTATTTCGTGACACTATGTATAACTGGCAACTTCCTACAAGCCTTCTGCACATGCAACACTTTTATCAGTTGTTTCTAACCACCCCTTTCTCCACCTCCTTCCCCAGCACTTTTTCCCTGCTGTCTGCACCGCGCACAAAAGATGTTCAGGAAAGACAAATTCAACTAAAAGCAAAGCTGCTACTTAAACACATCTCCAGCTAATTTTCATCAGAACATGCTATTCTAGGTAATCTACGCAAGGTAAAGCAACCTTGAAGTAATTATTTTTCTTCAGATCTCAAGTTGAATTGGCACTGTTGGCTACAAGCTTGTTAACTGACTTCATCAGTCAGAACTTTCCATAGAGCTCAGAAAGAGACGACAGACCATGGGCTCAAATACTGTCAAGTCTGAATATTAAATGTGTTTTATAATAAAGTTCTAGCAAGGAGAAGCACTGCCAATGCCAGGAGCTTCTGGTTTGGCACTGAGTAACAGTCAAGGCTATAATTTCCAGAATTATACTCCACTATGCTATTTAAGATATATGTATATATAAAGCTATTCAGAAAATCAGAGATAGATGACCAATAAATTTAGCATGTTATCTAAGTCCAAGGTGTTTCTTCTAGAATCATCTCCAACTCATATATTCAGTTACTTTTATAAACACATGGCTGGGCCAGCCAGCTAAGCTACTTACTATTTCACAATTAGTTGTATTTATATTCTATCAACAGCTTGTGGATCATTTTGAGATTTCAGAAAAGAGAAGTGAAAATAATTTGGAGGCTCCCCCTTCCTCTTTATTTGGAATTAAAAGTTACCAACTCAGCCACGGAGTTACAGTGGTCTTTCCCTTGTGTGGTTTTTTTTAAATCTTATCCCAGCTGTACCACTGAAGAGTTTAATTTGCCTGGCAAAAGAAAATAGGCTTGCTTTTTAAGGCACAGAAAATAAATGCCCTCCCAGACACATTTACTTGTGCAGGCTGACAAAACAAGAAGTATCACTCAAGACTATGGAGGACACAAGAAGCCACTAACACATCGCAGTCCGGAGGACTGATCACTCGATACAGCTTAAACAGGACATGCTCCAGGGTTTGATCAGTTAGCTGATAAAAGCTTTCTTTTTTTTTTCTTCTTCTTTTTTTGGGAGAAGGAGGAGAGGAAATCTAAATGCAGAGGCGTCGTTTTTAAAAAACAGTAATTTAAGAATAATAAGTAATCTGAGGTCAAAGTGTCACTTCAAAACTTATGATCATCTTGTTCACCTAAGCATTATTCAGTCAGTAAGTATGACCTAATCTCAAATCCCACGCCACAAAAACATACCCATCTGCTTATAAAAAGTTCAGTAAATTTCTAACAAGTGTTTAATTAATACTACACTGCATAGTATTTTTTAACCTCATCAGGACCCCTTGCTTTAGGCCAATTAAGGCAAAAAAAAACCAATACCACAAGTTGTTTTTAGTCACAAGCATATTTCCAGGACTGCACAAGTAGTAGTAACACACACAGTATTTACAAAGCGACATGATTCAAGTCTGGCAATAAGAAAGACTCCATTAGTTAGGAAGGGAGATACACTGAAATGATTAACTTGAGAACAGCTGCTGAATTTCATAAAGTGTGGAACTTCTGGCAAAAGAAGAAAAGCCTTCAGCTGAATTTCCATTAGCTGCAGTTTTCTTTCCGATGGAGACATGTTTGGAATTCTGGACAACATAAGTAAGTTTGACTGTTCAAAATCAATAATGTCAAGCTGACACTACAGAACAAAAAAATGTTACCTTAATGGAAGAAAGAAAAGTTTAGGGAGAGGAAAAAAGAGCTAGCAGGGATCTTGCTCGAGTGGATCTAAATATAGACTTGGGCAAAACCTTACATTTACAGTGAAGGAAAAACGAGCATCTACCAACATATATACCCCATGTGCTAATCAATCACCTAATTAATGTAAAAACGTTTGAAATAAACACATTTACTATGGAATACGTCAGTTCTTGAAGTAGGACTAAATTCACGGCCACTCAGAAAGCTTCTTTTAATTGTGTTCATTGAGGCAACTCCTTCTCCCCTGGCACTCATCATCAACCCACCTTATACTATCAGTCCCCCAGCGGTGAACCTGAGAAATCAATCTGCTAATGTATAATTTGTAAAGCTCCTCTGACTAACAAATGGATAATTGATTCTTGCACAAATGCTGCATCCCAATGGATACGAACTGGATGAACAAGAAACATAAGACCGGATTTCACTCCAATTCT